ATTGGAAGATTTTGAGTTTAAGAAGCCCCTAACAGCTGTTTAATGTTAATTATTGTAAAAAACAGAAGGAAAGAGGTAAATGATATCTAGTGATGTTGTAATAACAGTAGAGTTGTTGAATTACTAAGAGTATTGCCGTGGCACTAAATAATGTAATTCTCTGGCAGAAGAAAATGTACTCTATATAAGGAGATAAACCACCAGCTGGCTTGGCTTTATAAAGTAAATACATGTAATTTATAAAAGACCCTTCCACCATTTTTTCAACATCTGACTGGGACCAGTTAGCAAAACATCCACCAACACAGCTGGTAAGAATGCCTTCAAATTACTAAACAGGGTGCAAAGAAAATCATTTTTACAGCTTACCTTTTGGGCAAGCTGAAGCTAGCATTTACTAGCCCAATTGTCATTTCAACTAGCCCCAAAAGCTTTTTGATGAGCAGAATTGATTTCACAGTTCTTCTGTTATTGGAATTCCTCAAAAAAGCATCACTTGCCTGTCGGGCAAGTTAAAAACAGAATTCACTAGCCTGATAGCAAAATCTACTAGCCACGTGCTATCGGACACTACTTTCTTTGCACGCTGCTAAAGTTACCAAGTTTGAAAGTGATTTGTTGAAAACTAACTAAGGGGTGGAGAATGGTAAAATCTGAGACTCGCCGAGATGCTGAGATCCTAGTTAGAAATCCGAGCCCGAGACTCTTTGGTAAAAAGTTTTGAGACTCAAAAAAAGTAAAAACAAACCATGCAAAAACGAGACTTCGAGACTTATCAAAAACGCCTCCAAGATTTTGAGATCCTGTCAAAATTTTCTGAGACCCACGTTTTTCGAGGTACCATTCGCCACCCCTTAACTAAGATGTAGCTCCCAAAAGTCGTGAAATTTTACAGACATTTGTATGGTGGTATGGCACAAACTTGTGGAGCAATATCTTTCACTCTCGTTGAACATATCACCTTTCAACTTGGTAAGTTAAATATTTTAAGGTGTTCTTTGCAGCAGTGTCAATAGATATTCACTTAATGCTCTTTACCAAAAGTTGAAAAAACAAAAAAAACGTGGAAGGATCTATTTAGTGACAACAAAAACAACTACAATTTCGGTGGCATTCCTATTTTCGGATGGAATGCCACAGCAAAATTATTATTTAACAGTTATATGAACAACTGGGAATTATTGATAACAGGTAATAGGTTATTCTTGTAGTAATTTTTTAATCTTAAAATCCATATTAATGTGATATTATTGAAGGAAAAAATGATTGAGTGACAATTATTTTTGGTAAATGTAGTTCCTTATAACTAGATAAAGCATGTGCATTAAGCTGTCTGCACTTAATCAAGTGAGGGAATCTTATATCTTGTAAATGCCTGTCTAGATCAGAAGAAATAAAACACTTGTACCTTGGGTCATTGTTGAGCCATATAACTACTTGAAAAATGTTATTGAAGTTGTCCTTCAAAAGCGCTAGAAACATTCTCACCATATAGTGGAGATCAAGCTCCATGTGCGACCACCTCTCGCAAGCGACCACCTCCCTTAAGAGACCACCTCTTGTAAGCGACTACCTCCCATAAGCAACAGCCTATCCAAAAGACCAAAACTTTCCCAGTCAACAGACTAACAGTTGGAATCTCTAGTAAAGGACCACCACCTGTAAGTGACTGCAACCACTTTTTGGACCTGAAAGTTTAATGATTTTCCAGTTGTTTTTATCCTCTTGTGTGCGACCACTTGATGTTTTCTCTGATCTCTATGTTTGCTGTGTGCACTATGCTACTTAGAATATACGAAGAACTTTAGTGACAACGTGGAACTACACATGGTGTAACTTGGATATTGCAGGCAATAAATTATCTTCCATGAAGTAGATGTGCCTAGACTTATTCTCGGAAGAGGCCCCCTGTGGTTTGATTCTTGTAAGCAACCACCTCCCGTAAACGGCAACTAAGTCTTTGCATTTTGGGTGGTTGCTAACGGAAGGTTCAACTGTAATTGGAGAACCCACTCATCCAGACATTACAATTATTAGAGGGGTGCCAAGCCTCAAAAACAAATTTTTTGGCCTTGCAGGCATCAGGTTCTATTAAAGATCAGGTGGGCCCTTGCACCCTACGAGGCCCTCCCCTAGATCAACCACCGCCTTCTTTTCATAGCATGATTATCAAAAATTCCTTAAAGGAGGGGGAGTGGAAAGAGGGGGAGGGAAGGGTGGTAAAGAAAACCAATGAAGCGGTCCACTCAAGTTTTGGTTAGGGTATGTACTGCCCAGAAATTTCAAGACACCTCTCCCCGTCCCCTTCCTATTTTCAGTGAGCATGCTGCTACAATCTTCATTGTAATATACTAATTAAAGCATTGTATTCTATCACGTAATGCACGCAACCAGTATCACAGTCAGTATCACAGTCCCATTTATGGGAAAATCCCTCCTTTATCCACAAATGGCTGTTACTTGGATTCTGTTTTCTTTGAAAGCTGGCTGATTCTTGTAAAAACACTCTTTACACAGTTGTACGTTTTATTGGGTGATTTGATTAACTTTCTTGAATCCTAAGAGTGGATTTTTGTGCCAAAAAGTCATATTTTTCTTTGCTAAGTATGATAAGTTACCAGGCCGGTAAATTCTTCACAGGAAGTATTTGACGCTTCCGGTTCCTGTTTTGAGGCTACCGGAAGTGGAACATGGTTTAAGACCATGTGACTACGAAACGGTCAAAAATTTGGCGGGCTGTTGGCGGCAGCCATCTTTATTTCTGACAGCCAAAATGTCGTTTTTCGAAACTCTAGAGACACTCTTTGGAGTCCGGGATTTATACGAAGTATTGCATTTAACAAAAACAGCGTCTGAATCCGAGATAAAGCGAGCCTACCGAAAAAAGTCGCTTCAAGTTCATCCAGATCGAGCGAGTGAAGAAGATAGAGAAGAAGCAACGAAGAGATTTCAATGTTTGGGTCAAGTTTACTCTGTTCTGTCCGATCCAGACCGAAGAGCTGTTTATGATGAAAGCGGTGAAGTGGAAGACGATATCATTGTACAAGAACGCGACTGGGATGCTTACTGGAGGTTGCTGTTTAAGAAAATTACCGTGGAGGATATTGCAGAATTCGAGAAGCAATACAAGGGCTCGGAAGAAGAGATGAACGACCTCAAAGCCGCCTACTTAGACTATGAAGGAGATATGGATGCTATCTTAGAGAATGTTATGTGTGCAACGGTAGATGACGATGAAAGGTTTAGAAAAGTCATCAGGGAGCTAATTTTGAAGGAAAATCTTCCAAAATTCCCAGCCTTTATTAATGAGGGTAAAAAGAAAAAGAGAGCTAGAAAAGAAAAAGTAAGTGAGCACATCCCCCTCCCCCTTCTCGCCCCCTCCCACCAAAAAACGTTACCCTGATTAAGAGNATCAGGGAGCTAATTTTGAAGGAAAATCTTCCAAAATTCCCAGCCTTTATTAATGAGGGTAAAAAGAAAAAGAGAGCTAGAAAAGAAAAAGTAAGTGAGCACATCCCCCTCCCCCTTCTCGCCCCCTCCCACCAAAAAACGTTACCCTGATTAAGAGGAAATACTCACTTGTATTAGAAAAAACCTTCAATGTTAGTAGCCTGTGAATGCAACCATCTCTCCTCGCTTCTTGCCGCTAGGAAAGTTTCGCAGGAGAGATGTCTGCGCGTCAGCAACAGAAATTGCATTTGCTGATAACATAAATCAATGTTGCATAATTAATCCGGTAGTCATGGAGTTCCAAATGTGAATTTTTGTGATTTTATGTTTCTCCTGGTCAATTATGGTTAACTTTTGTGTTCTTCTGTGTACAAGGCCTGGCAAAACTCAAACGCTTCTTCTAAAGAATGATATATCCCACGAATTTTGACTGTTTTGTAGTAGACGTTGTGTTTAGATCTGACCTTTGAGGCTTTTTGTCTCTTTTCTGTTATTCATAAATAATAGCAAAAACAATAGAACTGCTATTTGACCAACCAGAGCTCCTGATCAGATTCCAGACAGATTTTGCATCATATGTGTAGAGTTTCTGTTGCTGAGGAGCAGACATGTTTGCTTTGAAATATCCCTAGAGGCAGGGAGGAAGGAGAGATGGCTGTATTTGCAGGCTACAATGTTAGCTTCTGTTAAAATTTCCAAATGTGGCATAATTTAAAGATTATCTTGTGATAATTTTTGACACGAGTTTCCCCCACCCCACCTCATCTCAGAGAAATTAGTAATTGGACTATTGATATTGGATTATTGATTATTGAGTTATAGGATTATATGATAAAGCAGGTTATATTTACAAGGCAGCTTGAAAGCCAGTGTGGACCTGCTACAGCAATACACAAAGATAAACGCACATAGGTGTTGACCAATGTAGACCACTCTATGGGTGTATACATCCCCTTCTCTCTCAGTGAGGATTCTGATCCCTAAAATGTGGGACCCCATTGTAGTAACTCTGTTGAAAATGTAACCCCATTATAGTCAATTCAGTTGTGAAAATGTGACCCCATCCAGTGGCACACTCCCATTAGCCTATTTCTTGGAAGTATACCCTTCCCCCCACCCCCACCCGGCTGGGGTTTCATCCTACAAGAGCTTGTTAGAGCCTGCAACCATATTAGAACATGTAACTTATCTTGATTTTTAGTAACTCGTCATCAGCATCATAAAAGCAAGGGATGGCACAGTGGTGAGAGTGCTCACCTCCCACCAATGTGGCCCGGGTTCAAATCCTGGAGTTGACGCCATTTGTGCGTTGAGTTTGTTGTTGGTTCTTTCCATTGCTCCAACAGGTTTTTCTCCGGGTACTCCGGTTTTCCCCTCTCCTCAAAAACGAGCATTTCCTAATTCTAATTCGACCAGGAATCAGGTAGAGGAAGGACCACTTTGTGGATGTTCTACCTCCAAATCATTATTATCATTATTATTATTAATCATTATTAAAAGCAGTTTGAAGAATGTTGATATTAGTAATTACTAAAAGGTAAAAAAGACTGTTTTTTCCCCTCAGGCTCAAAAAGAAGCTGCTGAAGCAGAGGAAATGGCAAAGGAATTTGGTCTTAATGGCAACAGTTCAGAGGATGGCTTAAAACAACTCATACTGAAGCGACAAAGTGAAAGGCAGGGAGCTTTAGACGACATGATAGCAGGACTGGAAGCTAAATATTGCAAACCAAAGAAACCAAAAACAACTAAAGGAAAAAAGAAATAAGTCTCACCAGGAACTTTTTTTCTGGAAACCATACTTAGTAGTTTTCCTTTTCAACTGTTTTTTCCTTTGGCATGCGTGGACGCAAATGGTGCACATCAGCTAACTAACTTACACTGTGTATCTCTGGAATGCTAGAGACTGAGATTTAAGGAGAAAGAATACAGATATGGTTTAAAACAGACTGAAATGTAAAATAATATTTAAGGAAAATCAAGAAGGAACTGGAAACTATGTGTATCTTCTCAGCAACGTTTCTCTAAGAGATGTTAAAAGATGAGTTAGTTATGAATGATTATGATTTTTGAGAGAACCATTTCCCAACATTCAGTTGTTAAATGATGCTGTGTATTTTTAATGCATTGTTTCTAATCTAGACTGTAGACTTAGAAGTGTTTGAGCTACTAAAAATAAAAATTTGACGTCTAATAATATTAATTGCCCTTGAAATTTGCTTAAGTTCTTTTTTATACCCGGGATTTATGCATTTATGAGGATTGTTCATCATGTTAACTCAAAACATTTTTATATGGGCTATTATTACTGTAAAATTCAAACTTAAATTTGAATTGCCGAAATGCTCTCTACGATAAGCCCCTGTGGCTTACAGTAAACAACTGTTGGAATAATAACAATGATAATAATAATGTGAAGCAGGCTGTCATTAAGAGCTGGGAGCCTGGGATTTCCTCTGGCTTTTACGAACATGGCCTGCGGTTACTTTTATAGGAGTATAGAAGAAAAATAGAACCAAAAGAAATCTCCAGCTTTTTTTTTTATTTGCCACCTACTTATTGTATTTGCCCGGCAACTTGAAATCTTAGTGACAGCCCTGGTGAAGTTACTGTGGGATTTCCCCATTCAGACAGATTACCATTTAGACCACAACAGACCTGATATTGTAGTGCTGGAAAAGGAGGGTAGGATGTGCTTTATTGTCGATATTGTCGAGGATTTTTTGGGGTTTGAAATTTTTGATTTCGGGAATTTTGGGGGGGTAGGAAAATTATATATATATATTTTTGGTAGCTTGATATAAGTAGGGTTTTTTTGGGTATTCAAAACTAATGTTTCTATTTTTCGTGTTTTATCATTTAATGCTTTCTGGAAGTTTTTATAGCTCGGAAATTCGGCATGGTATTTTTTGGGGGTCAAATTTTGGTCCAGGGAATTTTTTGGGTTTTGATTTTTGCCCCCATTTGATCATCCCTGTCATTTGAAATCCAGAGTACCCCCCCTTGGGAACCAAGCAAATGACTGAAACAAATTAAAATTATTCAGATGTACGTAAGAGGGTTAAAAATCCCACCTAGCCATAGGTAAACCATTTGGCTATTTACAATGATGATAGCATAAAATTATTTGAACATGGGACTACCAAGAACAAATCCAGCTAGCTGTTAGGTGGGCACCTGAACTTTATAGGGCCTTCGGATTGCAAGTCCAGCACCTGCTATGTTCATATTCTTCTCTTAAAGTTAATACCATATGTTCAGAGTTTGTATAGGTTGCAAGGACCTCCGGGATGTATTCCCTTCTTTTATCATTGTGGCCATCTAACCATGTGTAGCGAGCTTGACCTTAACCTTTTATTAAATTGCTATTGATCTCTTTATAAATCCTGTATGAAAATATTGAAAAAACATTACAGAGCCCCATCGTACTTCACCAGGACTTCAAAGGACAAGTTGAAGGCCTGAGTTTTCATTGCTACATTCCATGAAAATTACACTACTGTCAGTACTGTAGGGAAAAAAGGCTGTTCTATATGTATAGGTAGTTATTAAAAGGGTGGATGTTTTTAAGGGAATATGTGTGTGGCACCTTGCCATGGTGCATAGGGGGAAAGACAAGACTGATTAGTGCATACGGGGGTCGTGTGGGGAAAAAAAAAAAAAGGGGATAATACAGGGTGGGTTTGGGGGGGGGGGGGTTTCTGACCTAAGTGTCCAGCTGATGTTAAGCAGTTGTATAACTCTTAGCATTGTATATAACCACTATCATCCAATGTTAATCCCTTTCAAACTCTTTCTTTTAATGCCAGATGTTAGCAGTCCCCAGATTACATTCAGTGGAAAGTTGCCAGTCTTTTTTAACTTTCAATAATTTGTTATTTTTACTCAAAGAAATGACAGTAATTTTTTTAACAGTTGTGGCACATGAGCAAGTGATGTAAGGTTCAGATCTATCTAATCTCTCCTCCAGGCATATGCCATGTTTATTTTGCTTGAAATCTGTTTGTTTGTTTGTTTCACTTTGTTTGTTAATGCTGCACTTTCTTAACTTTACAGATTGTACATCACAGTACATGTCCAATTCTTCTCCACGAGAGGTTGATGGTGTTGTAGTTTCAGGGCTACCCTGTGCTACTGTTCTTATTGGTGTGTTTCATCGGGAAACTGGTGACCCTGTGGCTGGTGTCATCAATCAACCATTTTCAGTGTTGACTAAAGACAGCCAAAATAATAATAGGTGGACAGGAAGAAGGCTTTGGGGAGTGTCATATCATGAGCACCTTTGTAATTTCCTGGGAAACACAGACCAAAGATCATGTCAAGGTGAAAGAGATCTAGATGCTACTGCCCTCAGAATAGCTATAAGTGGAAGTGAACGGGAGGAAATAAAAACCTCTCTTTCATCCTGCGGTGTTAAACTTTTTACAATTTCGGGTGTTGGTCACAAGCTTCTTAATGTGATTGACGGTAATGTAGATTTCTATATTCTTTCCCATGCCACCTCCTTCAAGTGGGACACTTGTGCCGCGCATGCAATTCTTTGTTCCATGGGGGGTGGTATGGTAACTTACAGTCAGGCTCTTTCATTGAGATCAGCAATAAAGGAAGTTGATAAAGCGAGTTTAAATAATTGCAAAATAAGTTACCACACACCGGATAATAAACAAGGGAAAAAATGGAGCAATACCAATGGAGTGATTGCTTTCCATTCGTTTGAAAAAGTTTTTAAACTCTTGGAGTATTTGAAGTAAAGATACTACTATTTGCATTTTGATGATAACATGCTAAAGATTAGATGTTATTTCAAAGAAGAAAATTAGAGGGGGTTGCAGAAAAACCAGAAGAGGTATTTTCAGTTATCTATTTATTTCCATTGTCACATGTACATTATAATTTTTTTATCTGAATATCATAGAGTTGTAGTTATATTTAATTTATTACCAGTAAATTATGCATCAGGCAACCTCATGATCTTTGGGGCAAACAAAAATGGTAAATTCCCTGTGCCAGCTGGAATGAGACCACAGGTGATAATTTACCAAATGAGAGTCATTGCTGCATTGTTTGTTGTAGTTTATGTCTGTAAGGAATTTGTGCACATTTTAGGGGTTGTAGATGGCAATTTCATATTTGTTATTCTTGGAAACTTTTGATTCATTCCAAANAGGAAGAAGGCTTTGGGGAGTGTCATATCATGAGCACCTTTGTAATTTCCTGGGAAACACAGACCAAAGATCATGTCAAGGTGAAAGAGATCTAGATGCTACTGCCCTCAGAATAGCTATAAGTGGAAGTGAACGGGAGGAAATAAAAACCTCTCTTTCATCCTGCGGTGTTAAACTTTTTACAATTTCGGGTGTTGGTCACAAGCTTCTTAATGTGATTGACGGTAATGTAGATTTCTATATTCTTTCCCATGCCACCTCCTTCAAGTGGGACACTTGTGCCGCGCATGCAATTCTTTGTTCCATGGGGGGTGGTATGGTAACTTACAGTCAGGCTCTTTCATTGAGATCAGCAATAAAGGAAGTTGATAAAGCGAGTTTAAATAATTGCAAAATAAGTTACCACACACCGGATAATAAACAAGGGAAAAAATGGAGCAATACCAATGGAGTGATTGCTTTCCATTCGTTTGAAAAAGTTTTTAAACTCTTGGAGTATTTGAAGTAAAGATACTACTATTTGCATTTTGATGATAACATGCTAAAGATTAGATGTTATTTCAAAGAAGAAAATTAGAGGGGGTTGCAGAAAAACCAGAAGAGGTATTTTCAGTTATCTATTTATTTCCATTGTCACATGTACATTATAATTTTTTTATCTGAATATCATAGAGTTGTAGTTATATTTAATTTATTACCAGTAAATTATGCATCAGGCAACCTCATGATCTTTGGGGCAAACAAAAATGGTAAATTCCCTGTGCCAGCTGGAATGAGACCACAGGTGATAATTTACCAAATGAGAGTCATTGCTGCATTGTTTGTTGTAGTTTATGTCTGTAAGGAATTTGTGCACATTTTAGGGGTTGTAGATGGCAATTTCATATTTGTTATTCTTGGAAACTTTTGATTCATTCCAAAAATCTTGGACACACTCTAACAAGTTACAAACTTCAGAATCTGAAGCAATGTGTCCAGTTTTTTTTTTACACATTAGTCTTGGTGACATGGCCAGTCTAGTTTACCTGTCTCTTTCCTCATTTTGTCATACCTGTTTATACTGTATCATAGCAACAACAATAACAATAATCTTTATTTACTCACACGTAGATCAATAAGGAATAATTATTACAAAAAATTAATACCTATTTATGTGGGCCTTAATTCAAGTAAATTAAATGGAAAATAGCAAAGGGGTATTATCATTAATGAATATAAATAAATTAAATAAATAAATTAGTCCATTTCATTCTTGAAGCCTATAGGCTTGGGGAATTGGAAGATTTTGAGTTAGCCCCTAACAGCTGTTTAAGGTTAATTATTGTAAAAAACAAATTTAATGGAAGGAAGAGGAAACTCGGTAAATGATATCTAGTGATGTTGTAATAACAGTAGAGTTGTTGAATTACTAAGAGTATTGCTGTGGCACTAAATAATGTAATTCTCTGGCAGAAGAAAATGTACTGAATATAAGGAGATAAACCACCAGCTGGCTTGGCTTTATAAAGTAACTACATGTAATTTATAAAAGGCCCTTCCACCATTTTTTCAACATCTGACTGGGACCAGTTAGCAAAACATCCACCAACACAGCTGTTAAGAATGCCTTCAAATTACTAAACAGGGTGCAAAGAAAATCATTTTTACAGCTTGCCTTTTGGGCAAGCTGAAGCTAGCATTTCCTAGCCCAATTGTCATTATTTCAGCTAGCCCCAAAAGCTTTTTGATGGACAGAATTGATTTCACAGTTCTTCTGTTATTGGAATTCCTCAAAAAACATCACTTGCCTGTCGGGCAAGTTAAAAACAGAATTCACTAGCCTGATAGCAAAATCTACTAGCCACGCCCTATCGGACACTACTTTCTTTGCACGCTGCTAAAGTTACCAAGTTTGATAGTGATTTGTTGAAAACTAACTAAGGGGTGGAGAATGGTAAAATCTGAGACTCGCTGAGATGCTGAGATCCTAGTTAGAAATCCGAGCCCGAGACTCTTTGGTAAAAAGTTTTGAGACTCAAAAAAAGTAAAAACAAACCATGCAAAAACGAGACTTCGAGACTTATCAAAAACGCCTCCAAGATTTTGAGATCCTGTCAAAATTTTCTGAGACCCACGTTTTTCGAGGTACCATTCGCCACCCCTTAACTAAGATGTAGCTCCCAAAAGTCGTGAAATTTTACAGACATTTGTATGGTGGTATGGCACAAACTTGTGGAGCAATATCTTTCACTCTCGTTGAACATATCACCTTTCAACTTGGTAAGTTAAATATTTTAAGGTGTTCTTTGCAGCAGTGTCAATAGATATTCACTTAATGCTCTTTACCAAAAGTTGAAAAAACAAAAAAAACGTGGAAGGATCTATTTAGTGACAACAAAAACAACTACAATTTCGGTGGCATTCCTATTTTCGGATGGAATGCCACAGCAAAATTATTATTTAACAGTTATATGAACAACTGGGAATTATTGATAACAGGTAATAGGTTATTCTTGTAGTAATTTTTTAATCTTAAAATCCATATTAATGTGATATTATTGAAGGAAAAAATGATTGAGTGACAATTATTTTTGGTAAATGTAGTTCCTTATAACTAGATAAAGCATGTGCATTAAGCTGTCTGCACTTAATCAAGTGAGGGAATCTTATATCTTGTAAATGCCTGTCTAGATCAGAAGAAATAAAACACTTGTACCTTGGGTCATTGTTGAGCCATATAACTACTTGAAAAATGTTATTGAAGTTGTCCTTCAAAAGCGCTAGAAACATTCTCACCATATAGTGGAGATCAAGCTCCATGTGCGACCACCTCTCGCAAGCGACCACCTCCCTTAAGAGACCACCTCTTGTAAGCGACTACCTCCCATAAGCAACAGCCTATCCAAAAGACCAAAACTTTCCCAGTCAACAGACTAACAGTTGGAATCTCTAGTAAAGGACCACCACCTGTAAGTGACTGCAACCACTTTTTGGACCTGAAAGTTTAATGATTTTCCAGTTGTTTTTATCCTCTTGTGTGCGACCACTTGATGTTTTCTCTGATCTCTATGTTTGCTGTGTGCACTATGCTACTTAGAATATACGAAGAACTTTAGTGACAACGTGGAACTACACATGGTGTAACTTGGATATTGCAGGCAATAAATTATCTTCCATGAAGTAGATGTGCCTAGACTTATTCTCGGAAGAGGCCCCCTGTGGTTTGATTCTTGTAAGCAACCACCTCCCGTAAACGGCAACTAAGTCTTTGCATTTTGGGTGGTTGCTAACGGAAGGTTCAACTGTAATTGGAGAACCCACTCATCCAGACATTACAATTATTAGAGGGGTGCCAAGCCTCAAAAACAAATTTTTTGGCCTTGCAGGCATCAGGTTCTATTAAAGATCAGGTGGGCCCTTGCACCCTACGAGGCCCTCCCCTAGATCAACCACCGCCTTCTTTTCATAGCATGATTATCAAAAATTCCTTAAAGGAGGGGGAGTGGAAAGAGGGGGAGGGAAGGGTGGTAAAGAAAACCAATGAAGCGGTCCACTCAAGTTTTGGTTAGGGTATGTACTGCCCAGAAATTTCAAGACACCTCTCCCCGTCCCCTTCCTATTTTCAGTGAGCATGCTGCTACAATCTTCATTGTAATATACTAATTAAAGCATTGTATTCTATCACGTAATGCACGCAACCAGTATCACAGTCAGTATCACAGTCCCATTTATGGGAAAATCCCTCCTTTATCCACAAATGGCTGTTACTTGGATTCTGTTTTCTTTGAAAGCTGGCTGATTCTTGTAAAAACACTCTTTACACAGTTGTACGTTTTATTGGGTGATTTGATTAACTTTCTTGAATCCTAAGAGTGGATTTTTGTGCCAAAAAGTCATATTTTTCTTTGCTAAGTATGATAAGTTACCAGGCCGGTAAATTCTTCACAGGAAGTATTTGACGCTTCCGGTTCCTGTTTTGAGGCTACCGGAAGTGGAACATGGTTTAAGACCATGTGACTACGAAACGGTCAAAAATTTGGCGGGCTGTTGGCGGCAGCCATCTTTATTTCTGACAGCCAAAATGTCGTTTTTCGAAACTCTAGAGACACTCTTTGGAGTCCGGGATTTATACGAAGTATTGCATTTAACAAAAACAGCGTCTGAATCCGAGATAAAGCGAGCCTACCGAAAAAAGTCGCTTCAAGTTCATCCAGATCGAGCGAGTGAAGAAGATAGAGAAGAAGCAACGAAGAGATTTCAATGTTTGGGTCAAGTTTACTCTGTTCTGTCCGATCCAGACCGAAGAGCTGTTTATGATGAAAGCGGTGAAGTGGAAGACGATATCATTGTACAAGAACGCGACTGGGATGCTTACTGGAGGTTGCTGTTTAAGAAAATTACCGTGGAGGATATTGCAGAATTCGAGAAGCAATACAAGGGCTCGGAAGAAGAGATGAACGACCTCAAAGCCGCCTACTTAGACTATGAAGGAGATATGGATGCTATCTTAGAGAATGTTATGTGTGCAACGGTAGATGACGATGAAAGGTTTAGAAAAGTCATCAGGGAGCTAATTTTGAAGGAAAATCTTCCAAAATTCCCAGCCTTTATTAATGAGGGTAAAAAGAAAAAGAGAGCTAGAAAAGAAAAAGTAAGTGAGCACATCCCCCTCCCCCTTCTCGCCCCCTCCCACCAAAAAACGTTACCCTGATTAAGAGAAAATACTCACTTGTAGTAGAAAAAATCCTCAATGTTAGTTGCCTGTGAACGCAGCCATCTCTCCTCGCTCCTTGCCGCTAGGAATGTTTCGCAGGAGAGATGTCTGCACCTCAGCAACAGAAATTGCATTTGCTGATAACATAAATCAATGTTGCACAATTAATCTGGTGATCATAGAGTTCCAAATGTGAATTTTTTCTGTCAGTCGTAAATAATAGCAAAAACAATAGAACTACTAGTTGAACAACCAGAGCTCCTGATCAGATTCCAGACAGATTTTGCATGATATGTGTGGAGTTTCTGTTGCTGAGGAGCAGACATGTTTTCTTTGAAATGTCCCTAGTGGAGGGGAGGAAGGAGAGATAGCTGTATTTGCAGGCTACAATGTTAGCTTGTGTTAAAATTTTCAAATGTAGGCATAATTTAAAGATTACCTTGTGATAACGTTTGACATGAGTTCCCCCCACCCCACCTCATCTCCGAGAAATTAGTAATTGGATTATTGATATTGGATTATTGATTATTGAGTTATTAGATTATTTGATAAAGCAGGTTATATTTACAAGGCAGCTTGAAAGCCAGTTTGGACCTGCTACAGCAATACACAAAGATAAACGCACATACGTGTTGACCCAATGTAGACCACTCTATGGGTGTATACGTCCCCTTCTCTCTCTGTGAGGATTCTGATCCCTAAAATGTGGGACCCCATTGTAGTAACTCTATTGAAAGTGTAACCCCATTATAGTCAATCCAGTTGTGAAAATGTGACCCCATCCAATGGCACACCCCCATTAGCCTATTTCTTGGAAGAATCCCCCTCCCTCCACCCCCCACCCAGCTGGGCTTTCATCCTACAAGAGCTTATTAGAGCCTGCAACCATTATTAGAAAATGTAACTTATCTTGATTTTTAGTAACTCGTCATCAGCATCATAAAAGCAAGGGATGGCACAGTGGTGAGAGCGCTCACCTCCCACCAACGTGGGCCGGGTTCAAATCCCGGAGTTGACGCCATATGTGGGTTGAGTTTGTTGTTGGTTCTCTCCTTTGCTCCGAGAGGTTTTTCTCCGGGTAGTCCGGTTTTCCCCTCTCCTCAAAAACGAGCATTTCCAAATTCTAATTCGACCAGGAATCAGGTAGAGGAAGGACCACTTTGTGGATGTGCTACCTCTAAATCATTATTATCTTTATTATTATTAATCATTATTGAAAGGAGTTTGAAGAATGTTGATATTAGTAATTACTAAGAGGTAAAAAAGACTGTTGTTTTCCCCTCAGGCTCAAAAAGAAGCTGCTGAAGCAGAGGAAATGGCAAAGGAACTTGGTCTTAATGGCAACAGTTCAGAGGATGGCTTAAAACAACTCATACTGAAGCGACAAAGTGACAGGCAGGGAGCTTTAGACAACATGCTAGCAGGCCTGGAAGCTAAATATTGCAAACCAAAGAAACCAAAAACAACTAAAGGAAAAAAGAAATAAGTCTCACTAGGAACTTTTTTTCTGGAAACCATACTTAGCAGTTTTCCTTTTCAACTGTTTTTTCCTTTGGCATGGATGGATGCAAATGGTGCACATCAGCTAACTAACTTACGCTGTGTATCTCTGGAATGCTAGGGACTGAGATTTAAGGAGAAAGAATACAGATATGGTTTAAAACAGTCTGAAATATAAAATAATATTTAAGGAAAATCAAGAAGGAACTGGAAACTATGTGTATCTTCTCAGCAACGTTTCTCTAAGAGATGTTAAAAAATGAGTTAGTTATGAATGATTATGATTTTTGAGAGAACCATTTCCCAACATTCAGTTGTTAAATGATGCTGTGTATTGTTAATGCATTGTTTCTAATCTAGACTGTAGACTTAGAAGTGTTTGAGCTACTAAAAATAAAAATTTCACGTCTAATAATATTAATTGCCCTTGAAATTTGCTTAAGTTCTTTTTTATACCCGGGATTTATGCATTTATGAGGATTGTTCATCATGTTAACTCAAAACATTTTTGTATGGGCTATTATTACTGTAAAATTCAAAATTAAATTTGAATTGCCGAAATGCTCTTTACGATAAGCCCCTGTGGTTTACAGTTGGAATGATAATAATAATGTGAAGCAGGGCTGTCATTAAGAGCTGGGGGCTGGGGATTTTCCCTGGCTTTTATGAACATGGCCCTCGGTTACTTTCATAGGAAAATAGAAGAAAAATAGAACCAAAAGAAATCTCCAGCCTTTTTTTTTTATTCGCCACCTACTTGTTGTATTTGCCCAGCAACTTGAAATCTTAGTGACAGCCCTGGTGAAGTTACTGTGGGACTTCAGAATTCAGACAGAGCACCATTTAGACCATAACAGACCTGATATTGTAGTGCTGGAAAAGGAGGGTAGGATGTGCTTTATTGTCAATGTAGCTTGCCCTTTTGATACACGGGTAGCAGAAAAAGAAAGGGAGAAGATCGATCACTATCAAGACTTAAAAGGGGAAGTGCAAAAGATCTGGAACTGCAGAAGTGTATCTGTCATCATTATTGTAATTGGAGCTCTTAGGACCATGAGTAAACATCTAAGGATGTGGGTCAGCAAGTTGGAAACACCAGGGATCATTGCACATAATAATAATAATAATAATGATTATAATAATAATATAATGAAATATGATAATAATAATTATTATTTATTATAATGATGATGATGGTGAAGATAATCATAATTATTCATTCCTTTATTACCTTTTTATAGCACAAAGGCTAGTAGGAGGCTGAGTTGGACCAAGCCCAGGGGGGTACTCTGGATTTCCAGAGACAGTGATTATCCAAGGATTTTTTGGGGTTTGAAATTTTTGATTTCGGGAATTTTTTCTGGGTAGGAAAATTATATTTTTTTTTTTGGTAGCTTGATATAAGTAGGGTTTTTGGGGGTATTCAAAACTAATGTTTCCATTTTTTCGTGTTTTATCATTTAATGCTTTCTGGAAGTTTTTATGGCTCGGAAATTCGGCATGGTATTCTTTGGGGGTCAAATTTTGGTCCAGGGAATTGTTTGGGTTTTGATTTTTGCCCTCATTTGATCATCCCTGTCATTTGAAATCCAGAGTACCCCCCCTTGGGAACCAAGCAAATGACTGAAACAAATTAAAATTATTCAGATGTACGTAAGAGGGTTGAAAATCCCACCTAGCCATAGGTAAACCATTTGGCTATTTACAATGATGATAGCATAAAATTATTTGAACTTGGGACTACCAAGAACAAATCCAGCTAGCTGTTAGGTGGGCACCTGAACTTTATAGGGCCTTTAGATTGCAAGTCCAGCACCTGCTATGTTCATATTCTTCTCTTAAAGTTAATACCAGATGTTCAGAGTTTGTATAGGTTGCAAGGACCTCCGGGATGTATTCCCTTCTTTTATCATTGTGGCCATCTAACCATGTGTAGCGAGCTTGACCTTAACCTTTTATTAAATTGCTATCAATCTCTTTATAAATCCTGTATGAAAATATTGAAAAAACATTACAGAGCCCCATCGTACTTCACCAGGACTTCAAAGGACAAGTTGAAGGCCTGAGTTTTCATTGCTACATTCCATGAAAATTACACTACTGNTTTTTTGGGTTTTGATTTTTGCCCCCATTTGATCATCCCTGTCATTTGAAATCCAGAGTACCCCCCCTTGGGAACCAAGCAAATGACTGAAACAAATTAAAATTATTCAGATGTACGTAAGAGGGTTAAAAATCCCACCTAGCCATAGGTAAACCATTTGGCTATTTACAATGATGATAGCATAAAATTATTTGAACATGGGACTACCAAGAACAAATCCAGCTAGCTGTTAGGTGGGCACCTGAACTTTATAGGGCCTTCGGATTGCAAGTCCAGCACCTGCTATGTTCATATTCTTCTCTTAAAGTTAATACCATATGTTCAGAGTTTGTATAGGTTGCAAGGACCTCCGGGATGTATTCCCTTCTTTTATCATTGTGGCCATCTAACCATGTGTAGCGAGCTTGACCTTAACCTTTTATTAAATTGCTATTGATCTCTTTATAAATCCTGTATGAAAATATTGAAAAAACATTACAGAGCCCCATCGTACTTCACCAGGACTTCAAAGGACAAGTTGAAGGCCTGAGTTTTCATTGCTACATTCCATGAAAATTACACTACTGTATGAACTTCAGTATAAGCTACAATTTTGTAAACAACAGTGAAAATAACCTGGTTTGACATTTATGTTACACTGAATTTTTTTTTAGTATACTTTGTTCAGTACTAAATCACGTTAGTAATTTTATAGAAATGAAGTTACAAATAAATAACTTCTACTGCAATGTTTAACCATACCATAGTTATTAAAGTGGAATGGTTATGAAACCTGTTAGACCCTTTTGTCTTATGTTTTTGTTAACTGTTTTGGACCTGGCTGTGCACAACGTTCAATAACATTCCTATCATTTTGAATTTATACTGACCAATAGAAACATCACATGTTGGAAGCTCCCTGACCGTGCACAATCCTTTGTTTTTTGTTCACAAATTGTGACTGAATAAATTATTTATTCAGTCACAGTTTGTGAACAAAAAAAAAGGATTGTGCACGGTCAAGGAGCTTCCAACATAAACTACAGCTCCGTTGTTTTCAACTTTGATATTTGTCTGCTTTCCAAACCAGTCTCCCTTAGTAACTATGCCCATACCCTCTTCAATGAGGAAAGAGCATCAGTGAAAATTTTTAGACTTTAAAATATTTTTCATGTCAAGACGTGGAACAAAACTGGACATTCTCAAAGGGCTATGCCACGTAGCAGGGTCTGTGATTGGGAATGGGTGGGTGGGTTGAGCTGGTGGTATACCCAGGGACTCCCTCACCCCATATAAAACAGCTGCAGTTGCATACAGTGGAAGCTTTCTGCATTGTTCCAAGATCAAGAGGTTCCATTATCCTCTTTTGATTGCTAATTCCATTCAGGCCTGACCCTTCCCTGGTTGTCCTTGATTTCTTCATTTCTTTCATTTAAAAAATTGTCACTATTTTCTTCCTAACTATTTCTATTTTTATCTCATAGGAAGTCCAGTTATGTGAAACATTTTCTTGTTTTTGTTTATTTGGAACAATCCCTCCAGGAAACAAAGTAATCAAGCAAACAAAGTAATGTCGGGGGTAGGGAAGGGGAAATATGCAACCATTAACACTTTCATTGTAAAACACAGATGTAAGAGAAAATGGTTTTTCTTTCTACCTATTACATGTTTTGAATGCATAAACTTTTTTCTTTAGGATTAATTTAGAAATTAAATAGTGCATTGCAGAGTCAGACACGTGCATTTTCATTTCCCCACCCCGACCCTGATGCAAATCTCTTACCGGCCCCGAGGGACTAGGAATATTTGTGGTAAAACGGCTCTCGGCTGATCAGTCACCCATTTCAACTGGTGCTGAGTGCATTGCGTTTTGGTTAGTTTCTAGAAACTCTAACGTCGTTAACGTTCTTGGTGAGGATTCAGAGTATTTGCTATGTGAGGAATGTTTTTTTTCCAAGGGAAGAGACATCAAAAGGCCTCGAACAGGACAAGCAAATAACAGGTAGATTTTTCTATTGAAGAAAGTCGAGCGCTCATATTGCTTACTCTAGCCTAGAAGTACGTAAGCTTATATTAAGATGGTTATATTTCCCCCCATAGCAACTTGTTCTTAAACTATACTGCAAAGGCGGGAAGGGAATTTAGTTTCTAATTTTCTTTTCATCCAGTGCTGGTAGTGCACGAATTTGCTCTATTTATTTTATTCATTTTTCAACACCTTCTGTATAGCAGTTGTTCAACTGTCCTTGTATGCCATGACAGTCACGCTTAAAAATGAGTCAAAGCAAAGTGCGTAACTTGACCACTTCTGCTCTTCGGGACGAAAATTTTATTTGTTATTTTTCCACTTTTTTTAGGAGGATTAAATTAAATTGTGGAGGAAGACTTGAATGACACAAGCACTCGAACCCCATCAGACATGGACCCTTCTGGGGGCATAGTACAAGCTCCGAGAAGGTAAGATACAAACTTGTAAAGTGATCTGTAATTCTATCTTTTTTATTCCTCTCCATCTATTTATCTGAAAAGTTATCATTGTCCATCAGTTTACTAAAAAATATGGACATTCATCAAAGAATTTTAATTCACCATTTCGTCAAGCCGCAACGAAAACAATTTAGGCCATGTATTTTAATGCGTAATTTGTCAAGCGTACGATACAGGTTTACTCTCGAAGATATATATCAGCTCGATTGTGGTTCATTAAAATTATCCCTGGTTCCAACATAAATATGTTCGCGTGTCATGGGAGAAGGCACTGCACGTTCGTTTTTGGACGTAGTCAATATATGTGCTCTGAGGTTAGAAATAATCGCTCAATGTGTGGGAAATCTAACGCATGTCTCCGAACCTGAAACGATCACACGCCGTGCAAAATAATAATGAATTACTAATTCGACGTTAATACAATTTTTTGGCCTCTAAGAACCTTAAATGGGTTTTTCCAAAAAAATAGGAGGCTTCTTTTTTAAATCAGAGAGGTTGTAATTTGGTTACTAAAATTACATATGTCAGAGAATTTACTCTGAATTGTTTTGATAATACGCAAGTTATATAGCTGTATTACGTAGATTGTATTGGTCGAAATTCCTAGTGCAATCTATTTATGATGAAAGCTAAATATAACTATCATACCACGCTGGATAACAGATTAGCTTTTAAGATAGTTCCATCTGACCAAATTTGAATGCTTTTTCATTTTTCTTCTTTTTATAAAGTAAACAAAAAATATGAAGTGGATCTTTTGTTGTCTCAGATAACAAATAAATTAACATGGAAACAAAACGAGACAAAAACATGNAAAGTGATCTGTAATTCTATCTTTTTTATTCCTCTCCATCTATTTATCTGAAAAGTTATCATTGTCCATCAGTTCACTAAAAAATATGGACATTCATCAAAGAATTTTAATTCACCATTTCGTCAAGCCGCAACGAAAACAATTTAGGCCATGTATTTTAATGCGTAATTTGTCAAGCGTACGATACAGGTTTACTCTCGAAGATATATATCAGCTCGATTGTGGTTCATTAAAATTATCCCTGGTTCCAACATAAATATGTTCGCGTGTCATGGGAGAAGGCACTGCACGTTCGTTTTTGGACGTAGTCAATATATGTGCTCTGAGGTTAGAAATAATCGCTCAATGTGTGGGAAATCTAACGCATGTCTCCGAACCTGAAACGATCACACGCCGTGCAAAATAATAATGAATTACTAATTCGACGTTAATACAATTTTTTGGCCTCTAAGAACCTTAAATGGGTTTTTCCAAAAAAATAGGAGGCTTCTTTTTTAAATCAGAGAGGTTGTAATTTGGTTACTAAAATTACATATGTCAGAGAATTTACTCTGAATTGTTTTGATAATACGCAAGTTATATAGCTGTATTACGTAGATTGTATTGGTCGAAATTCCTAGTGCAATCTATTTATGATGAAAGCTAAATATAACTATCATACCACGCTGGATAACAGATTAGCTTTTAAGATAGTTCCATCTGACCAAATTTGAATGCTTTTTCATTTTTCTTCTTTTTATAAAGTAAACAAAAAATATGAAGTGGATCTTTTGTTGTCTCAGATAACAAATAAATTAACATGGAAACAAAACGAGACAAAAACATGAATAATAATATTTTTATAATAAATCCAAGGCAATCACACCAGTGAATTTATTATAGCAAGATCTTACAGTACTTACAGTATTCTCTTCTGGTTGCCAATCTTCACTCCTGTCTTGCTGGTATTTGTAGACATCATTAGCGTTATCCCAATTTTATTGCACTGTGTAGTGCCTTGAAATGGTTATAAAAAGTTAATTTGCAAAGGTCGGGTTTTAAATCCTGGCAATTCCTAAATTGAGTCAAAAAATCTGAAATCTTATTTTGCAGGCCTTGAAAAAAGCTTACATTCCAGCTTGTCCTTTTGGGCAAGCAGCTCTCTCATTTTGCTTGCCTAGGTCCAGTTCTTGCTCGTCTTAGTCAGTTAGAGGATGAATTGCCTCGACCCTTGCCCATTGAATGGGCAAAGGTGCAGGCAATTCCGGGTTGGCAGGGGTACTCGTTATGATGGCCTATACAGGGAGGCTCCTCCTGAAAGGGGTATCTTTTTCAGGCTTCAGGTTTATAAAAGGGTAGGGATTTCACTAGTTGAAGTATATAAAAGGGTAGGGAAATCTGTCATTTGGGTCTGTGAAAGGGCCCAGAAGGGCTAACAGATGAATTTTATAGCTTTATAAAGTTGAGAAAATGTTCTATTTTTGTGATTGATTCCTATTTAAAAGACAGTGCATTTACAGAAGTTAAAAGGGATGCAAATTTCTAAACAAGGTTTGTGAAAGGAGTACCATTTGTCAATAGAAGGTTTACGAAAGGGGTATAAGGGGTNGTAGGGAAATCTGTCATTTGGGTCTGTGAAAGAGCCCAAAAGGGCTAACAGATGAATTTTATAGCTTTATAAAGTTGAGAAAATGTTCTATTTTTGTGATTGATTCCTATTTAAAAGACAGTGCATTTACAGAAGTTAAAAGGGATGCAAATTTCTAAACAAGGTTTGTGAAAGGAGTACCATTTGTCAATAGAAGGTTTACGAAAGGGGTATAAGGGGTTGGACCTCTGGGCGGAGTCTCCCCTTATAAGCTTTAATTTTGTTGAGTACCCCCTGGGGTCAAATCATCCTCTTAATTTATCAGGCAATTGTGCTTTAAAAGTTACTTGCCAGCGAGAAAATCTACCAGTCCTGGGCTTTTTCGAGCCCTGATTTTGTATATTTTAAAAAAAGTACTGCTCAGTAGCTTTCATTTGAATGGTCACCCATAGTTAAACTCAAAATACTGACAATGTTGTACAGTATCCAAAACAATATCGTAGAAAGGTAAAGCTCATAAATAGCTTGAATGACTTTCACTTAAATGGTCATACCACAGGATCTCATCCACAGTCTCAGAAAGTACAACTTGTTTTCATAAAAGTTTGACCAAAAAAGGTAATATTGCCTGATACAAGTTTGATCATACTGCTTGGCACTATTTATAAAGCTTGAGTCATCTTATATTTATATATTTCTAACTGTACTGTACTTATCTGTCGCAACTAGGATCATCCATGTAGAATATCATTGCTGTGCTCTAGTAGAACCTGGTGGCCGCTGGCACCTGACTTTTTCTTCCGGGCAACTTGAAAATCTTAGTTTTTTCATAGATATAAAACTTAGTGCCGGGCACCCTGTATTTCAAAGGTTCAGAGCACTGGGCTACCTTCAACTTTTGTTAGAGCATAGCTTTATTATAGCAAAAAAGAAGTTATATGACAGTTTTACTATCATGATCTCTATTTTAGTCTTAACAGTGATTAGAATCTGATTTCTCCCTCAATACTATTTCCCTGTGTGAAGAGAATATATGAGTATATTATTACAGCTAGAAGGTTAATATTAAGAGCAGAAATTGTTCTTTCTTTTGTCAAAATTAATCTTACGCCACTTACTTAGGATAACCCTTAAAAAAGTAAGGGGTAGGATTATCTTCTGGTCTTGTTAATCAATGGCTGTTGTAATAAGGTCTGAACTGACACAAACTTTCATTTGGTACTTACATATTTACATACTGCATATTAATTAATCTTGAATTTTTACATGCACATGTCTCTGAGTTAAATTAAAGTTAGTTAAAATATACTCATAATGATTAAACTGATCAAATTAAGTTTACAAAAAAATTAAATTTACAAACGTGCATTTTTTCTTCCGATCAGTCATAAATAATTTATTTATGCAGTAGAGATGAGGAATTCTGGAACACTCAACAGCTCAGGCTATGTACAATGCATTAACATGTGTGTAAGAATTCTTTAATAGGCAGTGATTCCACTGTAGTACTCTTACAAGTCATGTACTTCAGTGAAGGTAAATTTGATACACGTCAACTACCTCTCATAGTTTTAAATATAGAAGCTTATATTGCTTTCTCTGTCAGTATTAGGTACATGTCAAGAAGTGGTGTTAATTAGAACATTCAAGAGAAGCTACTCACAATATTAATTTTTACCAACAAGTTTTAATAATACCGGCAAAAAATAAATGGGGTGGTGTTCAAGGCTCAGAAATCATTTGCAGGTTATCATTGCAGATCAGCCAGGGTGGAATGAATATTGTATTTAAATATATTGTTACATGGGCATGAATTTCCACTCCAAAATGGAGCCAAAAAGGAAATTATCATAAGGATTATAATATACTAATCGTCTTGAGTGTCCTTTAAGTGTTTTCATGGCTATGTTGTCATAAAAATTTTGAAAATTCGTTCCTACTCCATCACATAATAACTGATGTTAGAGTGTTCTCAAAATTCTGATCTGGGTATAAAATTCATCTCCAAGCCCAGAGGCCATGCGAAAATGGTAATTATAACTTATCAGAATTTCATTTGTTAGGTAAAGAAAAGATAAGAGGCTTAACACATTTGTCTGTTATATTTTAATTGCTTATTTAGGATTTTTAATTAGCAATGGCATCGTTGTTTATAAATGTGTAATCGTGACATAATTATTATAATCCGTGGATCGCTATAAAAAGGTCTCATTTTTTTCAGAGGACTGAAAGTTTCTGTAACCATGCACATCATCCATGGGCTATTTTTAAAACTGTGCTTTAAATAATCCTAACTTTTTGGGATGTAGGGGAACAGTATGATATTGATGCAGTCAAACTGAAATTCATCAGAAGGTTTCTGACAGACAAAGCAACTAGACTACTTGTTTTAAATTCACAGACAATTTGCCTACAACTAATGTCAGCTGATGGTCACATGAGATATTATTTGTGGTTACTTATTATAACTGCTTTTAATAGTTCATTGTACAAAAAAATGAATCAGTGCGCAAACAAAATAACACAGAATTGATCATTGAACTTCAATACTGGTCCACCTGCAAACAAAGATTCACGGCTACTTAAATGGTCTAGATTGGTAGATTATTTGTCCAGAGGCCGGGGGGCAGTTGTGTTTTGAGGAACTAAACACCAGAGTCTGTTACTCAAAAATGATTGGCAAGTTTTCTGTGAATCTTTTTGCCAGCAAACGAACAACCATGGAAACCAAGAATTGTCATCTCATGTATGTGATGGTATTGTATTTTAATTATTCTTTACGTTTACAGTGCCAATGTTTCGCATTATTATTTACTGCAATAAAATTGTTGTCGTTGAATTTATAAATGCAAAGGCGATTAAATTGTGAGCAACGTGATATCAGGGATGTGAAGTCAATCAATGAAATACATGTAGGTGTAGGTGGCTGATTTTGTCATCTTCAACTTAACAGAATCAAAGGAATTGGCCAGCAGAATAGGTAGCCATAAGTACAAAGTGGAATGTGACCTTTACTAGCTTCCGGCTACTTTTTATAACCCTGTGGTATGAATGTTAAAAAAATGAAGTGGTGAAAGTAAAATGAGCATTCAGCAACTGACTGTCAGGCTTATCTTTAGGGAATGCATGTATATTATCATTGTTTAATATTTTGTTAAATTTATCATTATCAGCTGAGATTAGGTTTGATTTACTGTAATCTCAAAAAAGTGTCATTTTTATTTTAATTTGTCATTTTCAGGCTCAAGCCACCTGCCCCACCCCCTCCGCAGAAGGTGAAGAAATGTGATCCACTTGATGTGGAGATACAAGATGTTTCTTCAATCTTCAGTGTGTCATCTCGCAAAGGACTGATTAAACCACCACAAGAACAAGCCAAAGATCCACTAGGTCTTGCATTTAGAAAACTTGATGATCAAACCCAGTCAGAAAATGGTGAAGGAGGCAGATCACAGACAAAGACTGATGATGAAAATAAGGTGCCACTCACCCATAATGGAGAGAAACTGCTAGCAAAATTTTATGCGATGTTTTATACTAATGATGGTACTGAAAAGGAATGGAAACTAGAGGTGGATGGATTTATTCCAGTTTGTTTTGTACAAGTCTACGGAAATGCCAACAAGCCATTCAGAATCATTGCTGTTGAAAAAACGAAAAGGGTGAGTATTACTTAATTATGGTGGCCCACAACTGTCATGGCAAAACCAAAAACCTCACGGCAAAAACAAAACCATCATGGCAAAACCGAAAACCTCACGACAAAAACAAAAACATCACGGCAAAACCAAAAACATCACGGCAAAAACAAAATACCTAACGTCAAAACCAAAAACCTCACTGCAAAAACAAAATACCTAATGGCAAAACCAAAAACCTCACGGCAAAAACAAAATACCTCACGGCAAAACCAAAAACCTCACTTCAAAACCAAATACTTCACAGCAAAAACAAAATAGCTTTGGTTTTGCCTTGGGTATTTGCTTTTGCCGTGAGGTTGTGAAGTTTTTGGTTTTGCCGTGAGGTTTTTGGTTTTGCCATGACAGTTGTGGGCCATCGTACTTAATACAGTCCAGTGATTTTGTTGCAAATAGTTATGGTGAGTCCTAAGACTCAGCTTGTGAAAAATCATGGGTCCCTGTCCATAACCAATGAGTCCCAGTTCAAAAAGAAAAAACAAGGAGTCATAAAGTGAAAATGCTTCGGCCTTTATGTAACCAGACAGTTAATCTGAAGACAGACTCCAAAACTCTGTATTACAGTATACTGAAATTAAAATATAATAGTCCTATTTTAAAACACAACAAAGGCTAAAAGAAATATACATTGTTAAACAACAGCCATAATAACTGCCACAGAAATTACACAAATGGAATATTTCTACAAATACACATGCTCAGATCAATCGATCAATCTTTGTGTCCTGCGGGATGCATGCCATGAATTATTTTGCGTCTTGGGGATTTTTATGTGCAGGGATGCAGGACGCAGAGGTAACAAAATCACTAAATAAGAGTTGGTCCTTTGCTTTCTTTTCTCTTTTTAGTTGACTCTTTTTTAGAAGAACATCTCTCTAAGATGGATACATAGGCCCAGTTCAGACGCCGAACATTTCATGAGCCAAACCTAATACATTGAATCAAGTACATGAAAAGTTTGGTGTCTGAATCAAGAAGGAATGCCTGTTTTAATTTGGAACAGCTTAGCTGTTCTTTCTGGCTAGCCCAGCAGGGAATTTCGACTATAGATCAACTTTAAAAGGACTTTGATCCAGACACCAAACTTTTCATGTACTGAACCAAATGCATAAATTGTTATAACGTATTTTCTAAGCAGTTTGACCGAAATGAATATTTTTCTCCTTCTGAATTTAGTTCGGCTAGAATTAAGAATGGCGTCTGAATCAATTCAGCCCGTCTAAATAATTTGGGTTGACCTTAATTCAAATTAGGTGTGGCTCAGGAAAATTTCGGTGTCTGATTTGTTTGGATAAGATTACTATTCTTATTATTATTGTTGTTATTATTATAATTATTTAATTTTTTGTGAAGCTTGCTGCTACAGAGAAATAAGACTATTAAAGAGTGATTGTTACCCAGTGAAATTCAAGCCTGCCAGTAATGTCAAAAATTTAAATAACAGTACGATTGCTTTGCTACATGTATCGTTTACTTGTCAAAAGTTTGAAAAGTGTCACCAAGCATTATAATTTTTGTAAACTCACTCAAAGAACCAATTATAACATCTTATTTCTAATGTTCAAAGAGCCTGGCTATTGCTTGAAAATTACCTTTAAAGAGCATTTAAAGTTACCCCAAGGTCTAAAACAGTACCACCAGTGAATTTTTCACATGCTTAAAACAAATTAAAATTGTGTAATGAGGAAGAATCTGAGTCATGTTTGAACAAAGATTTGTATAACCTTTTACTTATTATGTTAATCCTGCAATGTTTTTATAACAAAGTAAACAGTCACAAAAGCTGTCAGCTTTAATGCCAATATTTTGGGAAATGAAAAAAGAGTGATAGTGTTAATTTATTTTAAGTGAGTGGCAGTCTTTCAGTAATAGATGTGATGTGTCTTTGACCCTAGAAGCAGTTGTTTGTAGAATTGCTGGCTTACGTACATGTACATGTACATGCAAATGCAAGTCATAGACAAAAAAATAATATTTATGTAACAACATTGTTGTTGATTTTATTAAAAGGAATATATTATTTTGTATCCTGAAATTCTATCTTTTCAGCCCTAATGAAATACATGAAAACATTTCTTGAATCTGATCAGCTGAGAGCAGTGCAGTTTTTAGTGTTTTAACACAGTGCAAAACTAAGATATACAACCCTCCAAGTTAAATTTTTCCTTTGGTGGCCATTTGACGACCAGCTCTTTAAGTTTTGTCACCAAAGGACCTTTTTAGCCGCCAAAATATATATTAATAATTAAAGTGTTAAATAATTGGTTAATAATTAATTTGGGCTTAAGAATGGTGGTGTTCAACCAAAACAATGTTTCTAAACAGCATTTACCAGGACGTACAAAAACAACAAAATGTTGCATTAAAACTGCCCTTAAAGCTAGTGTTCTTTCAGTATTCTATGGATGAAACCGCATATCAAGAAATTATTTACCTCTGAATTGTCTTAGTGACACAGCCTTAAAGGACAGCATGATCTATAAATCAACCCTGTAGCTTTCTATCAGCCAAAAAACGCAAACAAAAATACCGCTTGGGAGATTGCAATAAATACCTTTTGCTCTATTTTTGGTTAAGACAATTGTTTTTCAGAAAGTTGAGATTTGTCTGATGATGATGTTGTGTTGGTCTGCTATGGTCGCTTTTTAATTTGAAAAACGATTCAACATTTCATGTTACTCAAATTTATTTTAAAATGTTCCATGCCAACTTTAACTTTCTGCTTTTCCATTTATTTTAACCCCCAAAATATTATATTTATTTGCGTGTTATAGACAGTGTTGCCCAATTTCAAAACGAGGAAAACTGGTTACGAGTCTGTGTATTATAAATTCGGAATAGCCCTGTTTCATTGTATTCAGATTCAGCATGATGGCAAGTCCTGGAGGACAAACAAAGAAAATAAGTGGACATGTTTATATATAGTTTTTCTTTGATTCTGTCCACTAGCCTTAGGATTCACAATCCTGTTGCATTAGATTTTTAGTTTATTGAAAATGGGTTGTTGTAGTATTTTGGCAATATGTAAGGGTCAAGTCATTTATTCCAAATTTGAGGTTATATATACTACTCTGAGGAAAATGATTGATTTATTGTTTTGCTTTGTTTCTTTTCTAGATCATGGAATATCAAGTAACTGTTAATACAACATGTGCAAGGAATTCAACTTTCGTGAAGTGGCAAGATGGGGTGTCAATGTTTGGTGTTCGCTTTGCCAAAGACGATCAAGCTGAACAGGTGTTTGTCACTTAAAACTAACAGGAAAAATCTCATAAAAAATTCAATTGCCAAGTTACTTTTAATATCATAATTTTAATAGTCTTGTCTTTTACTTAAAAATTACTTTAAAAGGCTAACTTTTTCACTAATTAAAATTTATAGTTATTGTTTTCAAATTGTTAAGGTTACATGTACGTTTATCACTGAACTGAAAACAATGACTTAATTTTTTCTTCCTCGTCTTGCTGAGAGCAGTTTAAAGTTTCAGAACCAGTATTTGTTGAGTAGAATGGTCCTTTATGTTAACTCTGTTTGATTATTTACGGTTTGACTGTTTGTGACTACCCAAAACAGGAATTTTTTTTTTTTTCGGAAATTGTATGTAAAAATCATACTCAGCCTCTCTTTTCCCCTTGCTGTAGACAGAACCTTTACTTCCATGAGCTGTCAGCTACGAGAGCTTTAATTACAGCTTTTGATATAAATTATGCTACAGCTGGCAAATCTTGTAGTGTCCCACCATTCATTAATTTGCCAACTGTACTTGGTATCTCATTCGAAACAACACTTTATAGCAAGTCTTTCTGAATGTCCTTCTGGTTTGGGAACTTAAAAAATTCAATATACTGCAAATATTGTCCTTGCTTGTTTAATATTTTACATAGCCTAATCCAGGTATGCTTGGAATTGGCTCATAATTAACACATTAGGTGTTTGGTTTGAAATGCCTTTTGCATATTTTGTTGCATGAAGGAAAACAACTAAGTACCATTTTCTGTTGTTTTTTTTTGTATTTGGTTCAGCTGTAGCTGGTAAGAATGATTATTGTTTGTATTTTTCCCTCAAAAGAAAGGTCCATTCAGTTTTAGTATTTTTATGAGGTTATTTTGCACTAACAAGCAGGGTGCAAGGAAAGTCAGTTTTACAGCCTAGCTGCCATTCAGGCAAGCTATAGCTAGCATGTACTAGCATGCAGCCCACAAGTCATTTCAACTAGCCCCAAAACCCGTTTTGATTAGCAGGATTGATTACAGTCCTTAGACTGTTTTGAATTTCCCCAAAGAACAGCACTTGCCCATTGGGCAAGTTAAGAACAAAAATCACTAGCCTGATAGCAAAATCCACTAGCCCTGGGCTATTGGACATGACTTTCTTTGCACACTGAACTGTCTAACAGTGATTATGAAGTGGAATACTTTTTTATATGATTTGAAGTACAGTGTACAGTCACTGTATTGACTGTATTGTTGTCAGTAACTTTCCGGGAATGGTCTGTTGAAGTTTGCTTGCTTTGGCAGTATTAAATGTCTATTAAAAGATACTTAAAAAGCTACTGCAAACCCCGAGGGCATTACCACAGGGATAAGGTGAAGGGTACGAAATTGAATGTGTGTCTTCTGCTTTACAGTTTTTTAGCACAGTGAAAAGGATGGCTTCCACATTGGCCAAAGCTGCACAGCTTCTTAAGCAGCCAGAGAGAAAGGTAACACACATAAAATTATAATGCACAAGACTTGTTCAACTTTTGATGGAAGTAAAATATTTGTAACATGCAGGGCACAATGGTTTCCAAAAGGAGCACCAGGTTTCTAATGTAGATTACAAAAAAGAAGTACTGTAATAATTATAATAAGGTAAGAATTTAAATCACTGGCTCTCTTCAAGTCCTAACAGACAGGATGATGAACAATAACATTGAGTCTTGATCAACTAAATGACAGGTTAACAATGAAAGTTTTTAAACGCCATCAACTCATGACGCCCTACTGACTTTGACCCTGAAGATTCATGACTATACCGCACAGGTTGTGGAAATGTCAGTCGCTGTCTGCAACATTATATATATATATTAGATGTGTTTTTTTTTTTTTTTTGCCTTACTTGCAAGCATTGTTTTTGATTTGATATTCTGTTTAGTTCTTTAGAATTAAATGTTTTTAAGATTTAATTTTTCTATGTTTCAGGTCTTCCAGCACATTTCAATAAATCTTGATAAAACTGTAGGCTGTATTACTCTTGTTTTTTATTTGACATATCTTAAAGATGTAATTAAAAGAGCATAAAGAATTTTAGCTAGTAAGGGGAAGCCATAGCCTGGGCTACAGACAGAACTAAACTTCTGGTTAGGTCCATCTGCAAAACAGCGGCAAAGTCCTTGTTCTAGGCCCCTGCCTGGTTTGAGTATGTGCCATCTTGATTGGCTCATTAAAAACGTGGTTGTTGATTTGCCAATCAGTTTGAAGGGAAGTTCAAAGTGCATTTTGGGTAATAGGCTAGTGGGTTGTTGGGTCCCAGACGTTACCAACCACGTTAGATTACGTCTGTGACACATGCTAGGGGAGCCATTATTTTTTAAATTCTGCAGTACTGATGTGTATTATTGCAGCTATAGAATTTTATGGGTGTCTTTATTTCTACAGGCTGCCATTAAACAGATGTCAGATCCCGCATCATCAGGTAACATCCACCACACAAAAGTGTCACTGATGATAAAACTTCCTGACAAACAAACAACCATCATGTCTGTTCCTGGATTGTGAGTATTTTGATGATATTGTTGATATAATATTTCTAACAGGCCACCAAGGCCATAAACTTGAGCTCTATTTAGCTTATCATCACACTATCAAACACAACTCAAGTACAATCGCTGTGAAGTCCCATGATCCCAGATGTACACTTGAAGGGGGCTCTAGCCAAAATGTGTCTCGCAGTAATTTTTGTTACTTGGATCGTCCGGCTGGTCAGCTATTGGCCAATTTTTTCCATGTCCTTAGTAATTTTCCCAGAAGTCTTTGTGAAAGTTAACGTGGCCCAGTTTCCTCTCGTCTCTAAAGTGGCGTATAACACCCTCCTTGATCTCCATTCTTCAGATGATACGAAAGCCTCATTCAATAATTGTTTTATTATCCATTCAAAATAATTTGTAGTTTGAAAACACGCTAAAACATGCTTTCCTCCATTGTTGTTAAGTTCATCTTTGATAGTTTAAGAATAGGAGATAAAGGTTTGTTCAGCTTTGCAAATATTCTCCAAATAGCAGATGTCGTCCGTCGAGTTGTCTTCTTGCTGTTCTTGCTATGTTTTTAGCAAATAGTTTGACTCTTTCTTCCTTGTGAAATGAGTGAAATGTTCCACCATTTTGTATTCACTACCAAAACAACTCAACCTCGTCCCCAGGTCCTCTTGGTTAACCTTTCAATAATCTGGCAATTTTGCTGCACGATTGACGTTATCAATTCACGTATTGCAAAATTCTTCCAAATTTGGTCGACAGTAGCTAGTTATGATGAATTATGCATGGGATTTTAGCTAATAGAAATAGAGAAATATTTTAAATGAATAATATTGTTACTTATCATATGCAAATTCTTAAAGGTTGACCATGAGTGAGCTATTTGAAACAATCTGTGAAAAGGAAAATCTGAACACCGCTGAACATCAGCTGTCATTACCGAGGACAGGAGCAAGGAAAGTCACTTTTGATTCTGGAACAGCTGTTGGTTCCCTCACGATTAGAGAGGTGTCGATAATTAGAACTGTGCTATCAGCCAACAATGTTGGAAGTGCAGAGGTTGAAGAAGAGTCCTTTGAGGATTTACTTGATTTAGAAGGAGAAGAGGTGATTTGTTTCTCGATCAGTCAGAGTTCATAATCTTCATTCATGCTTGTAAATAGCTAACTGGTTGCCTTCTGCCTGTTGGGAGTTTTAATCTTGTTATGGTCTATTAATTTTTGTTGCTAAATATTTATATGGAGTGCCTGTAAATTAGCTGGAAAAGCCTTTACTGTAAACAAAGCTTAACCTTTTACAACTGATTGAGTAAAATAAGCAGGGCTGTTATTTAGAGGCGGGGCCGGGATTACTCCCAGGTACTTTCATAGGAAAATAGAAGAAACATAGCGCTAAGAGAAATCCCTAGCTGTTTTATTCCCCTCCTACTTGTTTTATTTACCGGGCGACTTGAAATCTTAGTGACATCCTTGAATAATGGCCTGTTTACGCAGAGGTGGGAACCCCATGTAGGTGAGGTACCCACTTAGTTGGGGAAACCCGCCTGTCCATATAATCTCTCATTTTAATTTGATTATGTTTACATGATAGATGGGGTGACCGTTTGAGAGATTATATGGACAGGTGGGTGACCCCACCTTAGCAGCTTAGTTCACCTACCTGGGCTCCCCCACCTACTGATTTTTACTTATTAATTTTAATCATATTGGTTCTTTGTAGAGCAAAATTCTTCACATCTTTCTTCCCAATGGGACAAGAAGGTCTTACCGAGTGTCTACAGACATGACCATGAAACAGTTAGTGATGAGAGTTTGTTCACGGGAGAGGCTTAATCCCCGTCACCACTCACTTCAGTACATCGACTTTAAACATGAGTTTTTAGACATGACAAGCACCGTGGATGAAATTGAAGTCAACCAAATCAGACTTATGGATAAAAGAGGTACATAAATATGCTTACTTTAACCGCTCTGCACTCGGCTTCAAACATGAAGTGCGAGTTTATTGAATACCATTTCTTTTTTAAAAATTTCCTCAAGATCTCCTTGCTACTGGATTAATCTTTAGGTTTTTTTAAAAAACTATTTTCCTGAAGAAAATCAGAGCTAAATCGCGACTTAAACCAGCGTTTAATACCATCAACTGACGTGATACACCTCTCGTTGACTCTGAAGATGACTACCGCACAGGTTGTCGAAACGTCAGTCACTGTCAACTACAGACCTATTCGGGGACTACGATCGCCCGGAAGATCGTGCGTCACCTACTCGCGTGCGTCGTGCGTCACCTACTTATGAAATTACTCCAGGGCTTAGACCTTTCATAGTTTTACCGTCAGTGTGTATGTGGGCGAATCTTGCCTGACATCACTGATCACTGATCCATAGCATGCAAGTTAACCTATAGAAGGCGTCACCGTATGTACGCTTACAAATTAAGATCAACAATTTGAAAAGTTTGTTAACAGGAGCAATTAAAGCAAGTTTCATCTCCTCGTAGGAAACAGCTAAGGAAATAGCCGCCAGCAAAAACTGAAAAATTACTTGGAGGCGAAAAAAGGTTAATGAGTGTAATGAGCCACTTTCTAAAAATTTCGAATTTTTTTTAGATACAGAGAATTTGAACGAAACTATTAGGTACAAAGCGTTTTCACTTGACATCACGGCGGTCATAGTGGTGTTCCAATAATTAAACTGCGACCATGTTGGTAACCTGTGATCAGGCCGTCCTTCCCTGTCCACCGAATTTCGCTCCTCCTGAAAAACAGGACGCCCAAAGGAGCCCATGGAGGTTACCATGTTGGTGTTCCAAACCAATCCTGTGGAAGTTAAAGTCTTTTCTAATGTAAAAACTTTCTTTTGTTCCAATAAAATTTACGTAGCTGCCAGCCACCTGAGTGAAAACGCTCTATATCGAGCTCATATTTTTAGAGAGAACTAATATTGCCAATAGAGATATTACTCTGAAAGTTTGATCAGAGGAAGATAAGCTTGTTAATGACGCAAAAAGGAATGTAAACAGACATCCCAACTTCAGGGGTCAAGACACTCGTTAAGAAGTAATTTCTAGGTTATTATTGTCTTTGAGTGTTGTGCGTGAGCAAAGTGAGGGCGTGTTGGATTGAATTGATTGATTGTTGGATTCCGTATTCTGGAATAAGGAAAAAAAAAGAAATTAACTCAGCCATTTTGGTGTTCTTTCGCCACTTTCAAAACGAGATTTTAGCTTTCGCAAAGACTTCTGAGACTGAATAACAGGGAAAAAACATTGGCCAATAACTGACTAGCGTGCTACACAGCCTTTTAGTGTCGTCACGCAACGTTCCTCTGCACGTTGTGGGGAGGAACGTTGCGTGACAACACTAAAAACGGCTGTGTAGCAGACTTATAGCTGACCGGCGCGTCCCCTGTAAAGATTCTAGAAACAATTAAAATATTGTTCAAATGAGGCTGTTTTTAGAAATTGAAATGAAATCCAAGCTTCAATTGACTGCAAAACAGTCCGTATTTTTGCGTATTCAAGTACGCGCGAGCAGTCAAACAAGAGGTCTGGAATGAGGCTGAAAACGCGCGTAAGACTCTTACGCCACGCTTTACCAATTTCTTTACTGATTTTGAGAAAAAAACCGACTGTTTTGCAGTCTAAAGCTTCAACAGCTTCATTGCGGAACGCGTTTCGGCTTCAGTTCCCTTTTCTGGTATTTGTATGTAGCGTTTAAGTGGCCAAAAATATATCACGGTAGAAGAGATTTGCAACAAAACGTTTGCTAATGCACCCTGAGGCTGCAAGGCTGAGAGCTACATGTGTAATATAAATTCCTGCTGTGTAATCGTGGCTGCTCTTCTTCTGGGTTGTATGGTGTATAGTCAGTGTAAGTTAAGCTCTGCTGGTTTACTTAAACTGTTACAGTGTCATGTGCTGTTAAGAGGAAACTGGCGCAAATTGGCCGCAAGCTTTGTCGAAATCCTAATTTATTTATAAATATGCTAAACCGCTCCATTTATGAGTCATGCCTCATTTCATGATTTTATTCTTTGCCTTTTTATTGACATGTCACTCTCATGTTTTCATTTCCTAATGCCATTTTAGGACGTAACGTTTCCAGATCATCGATAAGTGATGATAATTCTCCAACTAATGATACAAAACACTTCAGTGAGTACACTAACAGGACACAGTAACAGAGCCAACTTCCTTATCACAGTAATATTTTCCACTCCAGAAACAATAAGAGGAACAAGCTTTCAGCGCAACAATTTTTGGAATGGTTTGGTTGGAAAAGCGTTACTTATGATTGGTTTATGGTTGCCTTGGATACCAACGACCAATCATAACTAACCCTTGTCCACCCAAACGATCCCATAAATCACTGCACCCAGAGCTTGTACCCATTCTCCCTAGAGTTTCTGAAGTGGGGAATTATGTTGATAGGGAGATTGCCTCATATTAATGCATTATCATCCTATGCACTGAATTCACGCATCTGTTCAATCAGTCATCCTCTTCTTTAATCACTCACGCAGCCATGTCCTTTCTTTCACTTTTTCATTTTCCATTTGCCCAGTCATCCGTATATCATTCATCAACACTTTGCTTAGACTGTTCACAGTTCCCTACTTTTTCGTAAGATCGTCAGGGTCGAGTGCTTACCGATACGGGCGACTATCTTGGGTTCATATGTACCAAGGGGGAGGGCATCGGGGTTTATAGCAGTGATGGTGTGGTGGGAGGGGGCAGATTTTTTTTTTGCCTTCTCCCAAACCATCCCCCTCCCCTTAAGTAGATTTAGCACTCTTACCGAGGCTAGACTCAGAACATTTGAAACAAGGATGGCCGTCCGTTCTGCAAAGCGCGCGATCTCGGCGATCTTGCAGAAGAATAGGGGACTGTGAACAGTTGACACTTGGTGTTCATTTTTTGTTCAGCTTTTCTTCGCAAGAAGAGTTCCACTTTGCATTGAAACGTCATTACACCTTTTTTCGTTGCGAACGTGTGCAGTGGATTTTTTTAACCTTTTCAGTAAATTTTGTGGATTAACAAGCCATTTAAATCACAGCGCGGAGTATTGAGCCCTGCAGTGGTAGCCTGTGAACAGGCTCTCTGTTTGTTTCACAGGCTATGCAGTGGTAACTTGAAGTAAAAAACTTTTAAAAAACTGATCTTGAAAGAAAACTGAGTCCTTTCGAGAGTCCCATCGTATTTATTCATTACTTCTATGGTTCTTTTTGTTCTTTCATTTCACAATTCTGTCACTCGTGTATCTAACCACTGACTCATTCATTGACACATTCACTGGTTATCCTCACTTTTGTCTATTCATTCCAACACTGAAATTTAAAGGATATGCATGATTATCTTAACCGCCATGCTAATACTGTTGTAATGCTAGCGCTAATGGTCAGTTAAGGTTGATGCTGATGTTAACACTGATGTGATGCGGATGCAGTGCTTTCCTGCTAATAGTGCTCAAGTACTAATGCATGTGCTATTGTTAATACCAATGAATGGTGATATTAATGCTAATGCCTAGACTAACACCAAAATTATGGGAGCTCTGCGTGAATGGTCTAACCTGTTGTTTTTACTAGTAATGTAATTGGATTGATGGGTGATCCAGTCTTTCTCACATTTGTCATAACCAGGCTAACAGTGGTCTACTACTCAGTCGTTCTTTGTTTCGTCACGCAACGCTCCTCCCCCGCGCTACGTGACGACACAAAGAACGGCTGTGTAGCAGACTAGGCTAACAGTGACATTATGGTCGCCCGAAATTTTAATAAAGAGTGTGTGTAATGTCTCGTTCTTTAAGCAATGATGCTATGATGAGACGAAGCAAGCGAGATGAATGTGCAACCGATCTCGTTCTCTATGCGGTGATGAGACGAAACAAGTGGGATAAATGAGTAATATATCTTTTTCTTAAAGATTTGATGGAACGAAACAGGCGCGATTAAGATATTTGGATGTTGTTGAGCATGAAAAAATTTCGGGCGATTTGACTGAAAATGTCAGGCGACGTAACTTTGGTTTCGGGCGACATGACTTGGCACGTGATGACTTTTGGGCGACATGACCGTAAACCCTCAAGAAGACAACAGGAGTCTCTGCTCGCAGGGTGGGGAAACGAGACCACTCCTCGCGTGTCCCCAGTCCTCGCGTGCGCAGCCCGCAAAGCTCAAGTGATGGCATCCTGCAAAGTAGCTGTCCTCCGATGGGAAAGTCAGGTCACTATTTAATTAAAATTTTTATATTTTTCTTCCTTCAGAGTTTAGAAAAAGTAGCGGAGTTGATTTGGAATCAGATTTGCCACCAGTCATTCCTGGAGAGCACAAGGAGACGAGCACATCGTGGCAGAGAAGCAAGTCTCTGGATGTGCTTTCTGATGATAGAGAGCCTGAAGTGTTTTCTGAGCCAGATGGACAAGTAGTAGATAAGGTAGCTCACTTAAATTTGTCTATAAGGCACTCTATATGAATAAGTATAGGTAAAAGCATGATTTGTCGTGATATTTGGCATAAATACTGCTAATTATGCTAATTAATTTTAAAGAAAGAAAAAACACAAATTAACGGAAATAAAAAAGTTTACTTTAACATACATATAACAGATGAAGAGCCACTTTGTGGAAAGGTAATCATCATCATCATCATTATTTTTTTTATTATTATTATTATTAAGTAGCCGTCTTTGTCTCGTCAGCAGTTTAAAATAATCGAAGCCAGGAACTCTTAAGGAATGGAGAACAAACGACATCCAAAATCTGCAAATAATTTGTAAGGACGGGTTTTAAAAAGTTCAAGTAGGAAAGAAAAATCAACCGCCGGGTGCTTGCGTTCTCCAAAATAACTTCAATGTGGTTAGCGAATCTCTTAATTTGTGGCTTCTCGCCGCGTGTACACGTCTCCTGATATCTGAGACTTCTGCAATTAAATGCCCGCGAAAGTAACTATCAGAAAGGTACATTAACACGCAAAATGCGTTTTTTTTTCTTTAGAGTATTCCCAAACATTCAGCCGCCAATGGTTCAGTTCCATCTGCTGTGAGACGACACTCCAGTGGTAGCGGCTCTACTAAGAAGCCACCAGTCGTGCCAATGCCGTATGCGTCAAAGACATCAAGTTTGCCAAAGAAACCGCCCAGAGATATGAGCAATGGAAGTCTAAAGACCTCGACCTTTAGCCCGATTAAAAAGGATGGCATCATTTCGGCTTCTACTCCCGACTTGAGTTTGCTTTCTGCCAAGTCAGATGACTCGCCTGGAAGTGGCAACATCAAGACTTCTACACCTGACGCTAAGACTAAACGCAGAGCCGCTCCGCCGCCGCCTCCACGCCCAGTAGCTCCTAGAGCTTTGTTTACCGACGGGAAACCAGATGCGCCAGCAAACAAGCCTGGTTTGTTAATGAAAACGTCTACACTTATGCCTGGAACTAATCCGTTATCAGCTCCTTCGCCAGCTGATGTTAAATTGAAGCCAAGTCACAAGAAAAGACCTGCCCCACCACGCCCACCTCGACCTGTCCCGCCCCGGCATCCCGCAAGACGGGGTTCGACAGAGAGCAAGGACTCGAGAAGCTCTGAAGAAGATTTCGGCAAAAAAGAGGATGTAAGGACACAATTTAAGCAGAACGGGAGTATCCCTAGAACCGATCGTGTGGCATTGTCACTAGATCTTGATCCCACCATACGTGCTTACCAGGAGGATGAGAAGGGGGAGGACGACTTGAGGGGTGTCCCTATCTTTATTCCTCCTCCCCCTCCGGATGAACTACCACCCCCACTGGACGAGTGCGAGACACCGGTGGGGCCTTTGACAGACTTTGAGACAGACATATTAGAAGGTAACAACATAAACGTTTTATAAAACTCAAAACTTAAATCTTAACTTCACTACTTGGTACTAACTCTTCCTCAAAGCTTTCCGTAACATTTTCTGTGAGAAAATGCTAAGGCCAAAACAGAGCTTTTTAGTAAATTTTAATGAGCTGCTGTAAAGAAATTCACAAAGCCCCTCGCTGTCGCGTCTCACGATAAGCCCCAAATGAAGAGCTTACTCGCAGGTTAATATTCACCGGGGTTGTTTGCCATTTACATGAGCAAACCGGTCGTTCCACGGTTTAGGCAAATGTTACGCAAAATTCAGGACTGGTAAATTTCGCCCCGGAATCGCGTTTACCATTTGTACGAATCAGTTCCATTTACCGGAAAGCGACCGTGGAGGCCTGAAACTGGTATCAAAGATGGCTTTGAAGAAATGGAACACGAATTTCCGTTTGGAATATTCCGTCCGGAAAAACAGGACTATTTTTTCAGATGTTCCGTTGCTCCCGGAAACTTTCAGCTGGTATGACCAAAAAGGTCATGTTCCATTTACTTTCCAACCGGAGTTTCTGGAATCTTGTTGTAAAGGGTAGCCAACCAGGATTTCTTTGCGCACTAACCATTTTAAATTTCAAGGAATAAATCTATTGCAATGACGTTGTTTTTAAATATCCTTACAGTATATAGTCGACTGAAATAGCCTTTTTAATTTCTTTAGAGGGTGTAGATGGATGGGGGGATAAGGGAGATAATTATAAATGTTTGTCTCCTTTTTAATTTTTATTTAGGCTCTCCAGGTGAAAGCTTTCCGGTAACAGTCAACGGCTTTGTAGGAATTGGGAAGTATTTAGCTCCTTCTCAGACACAGACTATTGAGAATGAAACTGGGCAAAGTGCGGAGTTCCAAAATCCAGCTCTGTGGTCAAAAACTGAAGCTGCTCTGGCCACTGTTCCGGAGGATGATTCGATTTCTGTTGTCCCACCGCCTCCAATGTACTCAGAAACTCCGGAATCATCTTCAAGTGAAATCCGGCTCGAAAAAGAACCAACCATCGTGTCAAACAAGAGAAACTTAGCCTTTGTCTTTCCAGATCTTCGCAACAAGGTCAGTACTCAAAGTCTGCGTGATATTCCACCGCCTTCATTAGAAACAGAGGCCACATCAACAAGCCAGCACAGTGAAGAGAAAGGCCGCGACTCGGGGCTTGACGAGAGCCCAGAAAACCTTGATATTTCTCCCCCTTCAGATTCGTCAGAGAATGTCCCAGTTCAGAGCAGGGAGGATGTCGATTCTGGTTCCAATTTAGACGTCGTAAGTACCATTCCCCCACCTGTGGATTTTGCTACTACACGCCCACTTACCCCTCCCTGTCAGTTCGCAAACGCTACTGTTGCACCCCCTGAAGGTTTTGTTGAAGAGGAAGTGAAAGGAAAAGAACCTGAGAAAGCACAACCTCGGAAGAAATTGAATGTTAGTGAAGCTTTGTTTCCATGGATGAACAAACCTCAAGCTCCTATAAATGCCACGGTACCGCTGGCGGTATCCCTGGACAACAAAGGCGCTCCAGAGGATGAAAAACCACAAGAAACGCTTCAAGATGGCGAGAAGATGTTTATAAATGGAGGCGATGGAGCAAAATCACAAGATTCCTCTGCTAGTGCTGTTGTTTCGATTACAAGTATCATCGCAAGCCAAGGCCATCAAAGCCAAAGTGAAGGCGAGTCATCAACAAAAGAATTAAGGCCCAAAGACGAAGAACAAGATGTCAAAGGAGTAAGAGAAGTGTTAAATATAGAATTACCAGAAGCATTGTCGTGTGATGGTAGGGCAACACAAAAAGTTGAGTTGCCGGGGTCAAACGCAGTAAAAACAGATGAGGTCGCAGCTGTAAGTGTCAGTTCGATAAAATCAGAGTGTTCTGGATCTCGCAATGCTTCCAATCCATTGACAAATACTTTTCGCCCGGAAGTGAAAGCAAAGCCCGTGAGGAGGCCTGTACATAAAGAGGAAATCAAACTTGAGCCTGGTGTCACTGACACGCAGCAAGCAGGCTCAGTATTTTATCCATCCTTGGAAGTTGCAAGAGAGGAGCCAGAGACTACAGCTGCGAAACCGGAACCACAAGTAGTAGCCGTTAAACCAGAAACAAAAATCAAGCCAGTTATTTCCGTAAAGGAGGAAGTAAAGGTTGTAAACTCCTCCTTAGTAAACAGAGAGCGGCCGGAGTTACCCTTTAAACCTGTTAAACTGGAAGTACAAGTCAAACCTGAAAAACAGGAAACGGAAGAAGAGCCTGTAACAGTGGTAAAAGAAGAAGCTGGAGTTACAGTTGAGGTACATATTACCTCGGTTAGTCACTTGCCTGGAGGAGATACAAAATCGGAATTAGGGCTTGAGCTTGTAGAGATCAAGCCAACCGTTAAATCTGAGAAAACAGAAACACCTAATCCATCAACACTTATCAAAGATGAAAAAGTTGACTTTGAGGCTTATGCACCCTCCTCATGTAATCCAGCGGTGAATGATAAACAGAAACCGGATAAAGCTGAAAAGGCAAAGGTGCAAGTCAAGCCAGAGAAACCAGAATCGAACATTAAGCCAGGTACACTTGCACAAGAGAAAGAAATTAAGTTAGAAGTCGATGCCCCTGAGTATTCTGGGGATTTAAGCATGAAACCTCCACAGTTTGAAAAAGTACAGCCGGCATCGCAGGGTGAATCTGTAAAGTCCGAAAATGCAGAATCACTTGATGTTCAAGAGGTTATAGTTCCACAGTTAAGACCTGTACTGGAAAGCAGCATAAAAGTAGTTGACAAGGAGCAACCAGTATTTGCTGTCAGTTCTTTGAATGAAGCAGCATTAGAGGCAAATACTTCTCTACCGAAAGCGACTACAACGATTGTTCCTACAGGAAATGATGACGTTATTGTGGAATCTCTTGTTACTCCAGAGACAAAAACTACTCCCTCCCCGCTTGACACGTTCAAAGATTTGGCCGAAAGGCTTCAGGAACTAGATGAAGGCTCCGTACCCTCTATATCCAACTCAAAAACGTCCGGTAATAGTAAGGCTGTCTCCGCAGCGTATCACGAACCTACAGTCCCAAGTAAAGACCACTTTGTCGAGGACGTTATCGTAGCTGAGACGAAACAAGTCGAATTCTCTGTATATAATCAGTTTGAGGAGCTGTTGAAGTTGGACAATAGAGAGATAAAAGCTGTTGACGCTGGAGGTAAAATAAAAGAGGACCTGCCTGTTAATGCTATTGTGGAAGAGCAGTACCCTCCTGATCAGGGATCTTCATCAAATGAAGCTCCTGATAGTGATTTGCATTTAGATCTATCATCCCTACAGAAATCGCCTGAGCCCCCACGCCCTCCTTCTTCGTCACCTCCCTCAGTGGCCGTCTTGCCTAGGTCATCTATATTACCTTCTCCCAGGGAATTACTCAGCGACGGGTCAACTGAATCTGGGATCTCCCTTACCGAACAGCCTAGAGGTCCTGTCACATTGTATACAAATGAGAAAACGGAATATACGCCAGTTCAGACTTCCCATAGACAATCGGCTAGAGGTACCGGTGCTGCGAGGCAACACCCAACAGAAGAGAAACCTACAAAGGCCCCTTTCAAGCTTCAGCGTCCACTAAGCATGCCAGCGGGACATCTAAGTGACTTAACGAGTGACATTGTTCAAAAAGACCTGAAATCGACAGTGCAATCAGACTCAAGAAAGTCTAGCACGTCTGAATCGACTGGTGTTTCTTCGTCGTCTTTGCCTTCATCTCCCGTCGAAAGTGATCAACACGGCAACACAGAGCTAGTTGATCTCCCCAAGCCACCTCCATTTACGGTTCCACCTCTCAGGCGCTACTCGGATCTTGCACATGACCTCAGCTTCGTTTCCTCGGCGGCGAAGGCCGCTGTGAAATCACGGGAAGATGCACCCGAGCCTAGCGCACCTCCTAAACCAGCTAACTCGTTCCTGAAGCGCAATTCGTTTTCTGTTGAGGAGTGGCCCCGGAGTTGGGTGGGACCAGAAACAAGCAGCAAAAACGTAGACAAGTCCCAGGAAAGTGCATCGAAGCCCAGTGCACCTCCTAAACCAATTAACAGTGCCCTGAAGCGAAGCTCGTTTTCTGTCGAAGGGCGTCCCCGGAGTTGTATGGTACTAGAAACAAACAACAAAAGCGTAGAGAAATCCCAGGAAAGTGCATCGAAGCCCAGTGCACCTCCTAAACCAATTAACAGTGCCCTGAAGCGAAGCTCGTTTTCTGTCGAAGAGCGTCCCCTGAGTTGGATGGGACCAGAAACAAACAACAAAAACGCCAGCAACGACAACAACAAGAGACCAGGGATGTTTTCGTCGGCTTTCAAGCCGGTGTCATTTAGTGTACCGGGAAAGCCCGTTGCTCGTCCAGTTGAATTCAATGCCAAGCAATTTAACACACCAACTGCATTGCCAGGTGCACCATCTGCGAACAACCACGTAGTGTCCATAAATGAAAAGTTACAAGTGAAAAGCTCTCTTAAAACGAGTGACGAACCACAGAAGCCTACCCCTGTAGAAGCAGAAAAGGCTGAGGGGAATTCAAAGAGTGTATCTTCTCTGGCCCCTGAGGTTTCGCCGCTATCCACAGACAAAACAACTCGCGCCCATCAACCTACATCAACTGATGTTAACAATAATCCCCAGTCAAAGAAATCAGAGCCTCATGAAGCAAAGTACGAAATCGTTTTTTCCGGCAGTCCATCAGAAACGCAAATTGCTTCCCAAGACCAACTTAACAAAACTGTTAATGGTTCACGTCAGTCTTCTAAGAACGTGTCTGGTTCCAGTTCAATTAGGGAGCAGATATTGCGTGACGCATCTGGAGGGAACAGAGTCACGCGCGCCAGACCTCAGTCTGCCGTTTTTGGTGGCTCTAAATTCCAAGTCTTCTCCTCAGATGAGAAGACGACTGGTTTGAATGGAGGCCATTGGGCTGACGTTAAGAAACTTGCAGCTCTCCAATCAGGCTCTACAAAGGGTGTGGGTGCATCTTGGGTGAAAAGACAAGCAAATGAGCCGAGCAATCCGGATTTGCCACACGTTGCACCTAAGCCAGCCCCACAAGAAAAGACAGTTACCGTGAAGCTGCATTCAAGGGAAGTAGAAAGTAAACCACAGCCCGTGAATATTGTTGGTGGTAAACAACAGCAACAGGTCGTAGCTGATACCAAAAAGCACCCTGTGAAGACAACTGACACCACGCCGCAGCCAGTGAAATCAACAGCTGATGTCACACCCCAGCCAGCAGTCAATAACGGATCTCTCCCTAATGTTGTCATGAGAACCAAGACGGAGCCACACGACCTTACCAAGCGTCACTCTATGCCTACCTACATCATCGAAGGAGCTGATCGGAATCAACCGCTTAAAGTTAATGGCGGTGGAAGACAGGTATAATATGCCGTTATTTAGGACCTGTTTACATGGAGGTGGAGGACCCCTGGTAAGTGAGGTAACACGCTTAGGTGGGGTAACCCGTCTTTCCATATGATCTCTTTTATGGTCACCTTACCTATCATGTAAACATGATCAAATTAATATGAGAGATTATATGGACAGGTGGGTTACCCCACCTCAGCGTGGTACCTCACCTACGTGGGGTCCCCCACCTCCATGTAAACAGGCCCTTAGCCTGCGTAGCTGGCGCAATTGTTTTTGCGCGTGTGTTTAGAGTTTTTACGCGTTTTTAAGTGTTTGGCGGCTTTTGCTGCCGCCTATTTCCCTTTCGTAAACGGTCGTTGCCATTTTTAACGGTCGATGTTACCACCACCACCACCAACAACAGTTTATTCAATGATCAAATGATTTAAGACTATGTTACCCACAATTAGCGGGGCTATTCTAGGTGGGCAACAATACAATAATTGTCTCATATAAAGTCGGCAAAAGAACAGTAAGAAAAGAGAAAGCAAAAACAAAATGATATAAATAAAAGGTAGCACCTATAGATATAAGGAAGGAAAACACTTTGACTGGATAAGGAGTTCAGGTAGGAACTGGTAATGGTACTCATATTACCATTGATTACCAAGCCTTTCGTCATGATAGATGTAATTTCTTCCCTGGATTAAGGTACAATAAGGCAAATAATACGTTTTTGAATAGTCTTAGAAAAACAACGTTGAAGCCCAAGTTGAATTTACGTCAAACGCTATGGAAAGGGCTAGTGTCACCTGTTATTGATGTATCAGTTAAGAAAAACAGTTTTCCAGTTTATGCACTTAAATGTTTCGAAATTTTGGTGGATCAGTCTGGTAGCTAGTGTAGTGGTAAGGGAGAGAGATAGAGAGTTTGCAAATAGTAATATGGTAACATTACCCCACCTCGAGTGCCTGTAGAGACATTTATTTTCTCGTGCTTTTAGTGTCCCAAATTCTGACACAATTTCTGGCGAAATGTGAAATCCTGTGGGTGTGGTCCCCCGGGCTATGGGGGGAGGAGGTGGGTAGAGAACACCTTACGCATAGACGTGACTGATTCTTAGATGTGTTTTTTTTGTCACAGTTTAATTTCGTCATGCAGAAAGTAAAAACGGACACAACTGTGGTACCTCAAGGCGTGGTAGCTGCTATGAAAGCATTAAGAGAGAAAGAAGGAAACACTGAAGGTAAAACCATTAAAATACTGTGCAGTAAGAACATTTGTTTTATTAAGATGAAATAATCAGCATGTCACGAGCGTGGGACAAAGAAAAAATCTGAGTCCCCGACAGGATTCGAACCTATGACCTCCCAAACACCGGGTCGGACGGGCGCTCTATCCACTGAGCTTCGGAGAACTCATGGAGAGCGAGGCCATATACATTTGTTTTGCCACTCTTCTTGAACAAGATCAAGTGCTTCAAATGTTAGTTCTCGGTCTTTATCGTCCTTCTAATAACATCAACGTCTTCCCGAATGCTTTTTCTTTACAATAGGAGAGGGCCGAGAAAAGCCGCTACACGTGTGGTCGGTCTTTTATTAATGACTGACGGGAAGAGAGACATTAGGGAAGCTTAGGTTTCTGGGAAACTTCCCTCCTACCCCTCCCCTAAGCTATCATTTTTCCCTAAGCGAGACGTAAGTGTTAATGTTAGCTCAGGGGAGGGGTAGGTGGGCAGTTTCCCAGAGACCTTAATTGATTTGCTTAAGGAACGACAGCGTAAAAACACGATTGGTTGTCTGAGCAAAATAACACGATGCCCGTGCATCAGGCTTTTTATAACACGTCTTTGACGTTCACTGCACGTCTACGACGTGAGACCTCATAATGCAACGTTTTATGGAGGTTGTGAACATCCTACGACGAATTTTCCTTTCTCTTTTTGAACATTCACATATTCCTTCAGAATTCAACTCCAGGAAAAAATCGCCTACATTTGACAAATTGAGCGGATCCAAATAGAAGGGATAAAGTTTGAAAGGAAGCAAATTCCTTTTTTAGCAACGTTTTAATTGCCGTCTTCGTCAGTGTGCTCAGTTAAGCTCCCTATCTCTTTTGATGACGGATATTATACTATTAGTTTCATAAATAGTAATAGCCAATCATTGTAGAATATTAGTATACTACTACATGAGAAATTTTTGCAATTTGATTGGCTTAGAGCAGTGGTATTTCAGCTTAATTTGAAATACCTACATGCGAAAATTACAAACCTTTTGCGGGTAGTAGTATAAACAATTCACAGCATGATTTGTACGTGATATTTGGCATAAATACCACTCGTGATATTTCAAAATTGTCTCAAATTTCACTCGCCTAACGGCTCGTGAAATTATGTATAACAACTTTGAAATATCACTCGTGGTATTTATGCCAAATATCACTACAGATCATGCTATTACCTATACTTAATACGAAATAGGCGAAACAAATTTTATCAGATGCCTTATAAAAAAAGGCCAAGGTCGTTCTTGGATGCTTTACTTGGCGCTAACTTGTTTTCGCCAATAAACTCTGCAAATTTGCCACTTTAGAAACGAGAAGGGAACTGAACCGAATTTACTTTCGCAAAGACTTTTGGGACTGTTACTAGGGATAGGGAAAAAATTGGCCAATAGCTGATCGGGCTCTTCCTCAAAAATGATCCCAGAAACAATTGCGGGACGCATTTCTGTTCCTGTTCCATTCTCGTGTTTTATGTGGCGAATGGCCAATGCGCGCCATAGTGCAAACTGATTTCCCTTTATTCATGTGAAAACAAAAAAAGCTCGTAAAGCAGTATGGGCGAACGTTGGCGGAATGGCCTTTGTAAAATTAATAGATTTTCGCGCGCGTTTTGCTGTTAATGTCCTACAACAGCAGCTCTCGTGGCAATATTTCTCGAGAATTAACCCACCAATTAAAGGTTACGATAGCATCCTTTTACTTGTTTCACTATTATGCATGTGTTCTTGAAAATTATTCCACAGATTAGACGTTACGATCACGTCTCAACACTCTTTTCATTAGCCATGTACGTATCCTATCCAACTGCGAGCAGTGAAACAGTGAATAAAGAATTGTAAAGCCTTTTCCAGTGAAGATTTGTTGTTTCTATCAGTAATCTTGCCTCGTCCCCAGGCCTCCTCATCGGTCATCAGGGTTCATGTCACAAGTCCAAAAAAGGACTTTTGGTATACAAGTTGAATCATGGCTAGGGTTTTCTAAGTGAAAAGGAGGGTAGTAAACCTTTCCATTTTATTTCCCTTTTTTGTCGATTGTGTCTAAAAGTACACACGAGTGACCACTGGTGAGAGTTCACCAAAATGCGATGTTTTAATAGCCCACGTTCGATATATTAAAATTCTAAGATGACTCCGAGGCTTTGTGGTCATTTTTCAATATTTGGTTTGTTTTTTTTATGCTCAAGTCTCTTTTGGTAATTGCGAGATAATGGAGTCTTGACAAATTTGCAATTGACCACTTCAGAAAATACCATAACATACCATAATGCTCTTTGTTTGTCACCCCCAAAATTTTGCATAAGCATTGTTTTCAGTTTCTCCTGGGGCCATTTTAACTCCCAAGAGAAACTGAAGACAATGCTTATGCAAAAGTTTGGGGTGACAAACAAAGAGCATTATGGTATGTTATGGTATTTTCTGGATTAATCAATTTTGACCTTAAAGCCTCGGATTCGTGTTAGAATTTTAATATTTCGAACGTGAGCTATTATAATGGCATCATTATTACGTCACTTTATCAAATTTTAACGCTTTAACCGGAAATGTAACGTTTTCGTTTACTTTCCCAAGGGAGGGACTTGTCCAAAAACTGTTGCTACTTCAGACACCATTTTGCATACTGCGAAAGTCAACTTCGTTGACGAAGAGCAAGTCAAAGCAATGGATTACAGCCTGCTGGTCATAAGTTAGGCTTAGGTTATCGTAGTTGTGCGATCCACTCTCACGGAACCTTTAAGGACAGGATTCTTCGTGGTAATGTGGCTGGATATGGAATGGTAGTACTTGTTGGTGATATGGGGACTGTTTATGAACCGGCCCTTATCTTCGCGCCCCCTGGGCCTTTTGTCAACATGTTTAACAAGTCTAGCAATGATATTGTTTGGTGATATACGATGAGCCGTTATACCGACACTCACAAAATTGTAAGTTTTTTTGACTATTTTATTTTATATTTTAAAGGTTACGATAGCATCCTTTTACTTGTTTCACTATTATGCATGTGTTCTTGAAAATTATTCCACAGATTAGACGTTACGATCACGTCTCAACACTCTTTTCATTAGCCATGTACGTATCCTATCCAACCCTTCACGTTTACTTTTGTTCGTAATCTCACTTAAAATTGCTTGAAGCATAAGAAGTAGTTAGCGATAACTTAATTTTGCCTTCATGCCAAGTGCCAGCTAATGGTAATCTTGTTTGAGGCTTTAACGAGTAGTACAAAATAGTTAAGAACATATCTGTTTTATTTACCAGGAGATTGATGCAAAATGCGCTTGAATCAGATGTGTAAGTGGCTACAAAAAGCTAATATTATTTTTGCTTGTTAACTGTATGATGCTTCTTCCTTCGTCTGCTGTTTTCTCTGCGTTTATTGTTTTAAACAAATTCTTAATTTCTAATCAACAACTGACCATAGGACTGCTAGTGGTTACATTTAGGCCCAGTGTATACGGAGAAAACATTTCTCAGATAGAAGGGTCACTCGCCCACTCGAGCGGATCATTATACTTTTCTGGGAAACTGCCCACCTACTCCTCCCCTAAGCCAACATTTTGCCCTAAGTGAGAAGTAAGTGTTAACGTTAGCTTAGGGGAGGGGTAGGTGGGTAGTTTCCTAGAAACGTTTTATGATCCAGTAAGGGTGACCCACTTAGCCGTGTCATCCTTTATCGACAGTAAGGTCACACTCCTTGCCGAGCCAGCTTTTCTCCATATAACCATTTTTTCTCATATAATTATAAACGCTCGCTTAAATTGACTCGGCTGGGAGGGTGCCCCTCTTTCCCCGGATAACTCTTCTCCGTATAAACCGAGTCATAGTAAGGTAGACCGCGAGCAGTCTCTCTTTTTCTTGAGATTTAGTGAGGGGAGTGCATGCGCGCGCGAGCGGTAAAACCGCGAGACTCGAGACGCGAGAAACGAGGGCGAAAGCCCGAGAAGAAAACTCTTTTTTTCGTGTCTACGTCTCGCGTCTTCAGTCAGGCTCATGGTAATTTGTGTGTCTCGCGCGTTTTGGTCGACGGACCGAGAAAGAAAGAGAGACTGCGCGTAGTCTAAGGCAAGATGGCTTTCTAATGACTGCCATACATCCAAAACGAGGCGATCACAACAAATAGGAAAAAACCAGAAAACCAAGGGAAAGCGTTATCGATGCTTGAAGCGGGAAAACATGAAATCGCTGGTAAGCACGGGAAAAATTTCAACCAGCCCCCAGCAAGTAATTCAGTGTTTCAGTTTTCAGTTTCTCGCAGAAACAAATTATCTTTCGCAAACTAGTATAGTCCAACAGCATTTTGGACGGAAATATTCAAATATTCTTTTCCAACCAAGTTGGAAAATCGTGGAAATTTCAGGGATTGGAAGGTGGGGGGTATGACAAGACCCCCCTGGGATAGAAATTACAGGGGGTGGGAGGTCTAAAACAAAAGTGCCCACCGTGGGGGAAATATAATGAAATTTTTATTTCGGAACTACACATTCTGTCTATAAAACTAAAGAGCACGTTGTTTGACCGCTGAATGCCTAACCGAAATTAACCACTAAGTAAAATAAATTACTAAGTACTAAGCGTCAAATAGTAACCATTCGCATTTTGTTCGTGCTTGCATGCATGTTTATTTAAGTCGTTTTAATTTGGCTTTTTTTCTTTCCATCTTGCAGGTAGCAAGTATGGAGAGGTGGATCTTGAGAATACCTTATGGGTTTAAAAAGATTTTCATGCAAATCTAATATTATTTTCGCTTCTAAGAATATCAAAGAACAAAATTCAAGAAATATAATTTCATTTTGTGAAAGTTTGAAAAGAAAATATCACCATGCGAAAGTACCATTGAAGAGGTTTCATTTGAGTGGCCATGCTGCGTGATTTTGTCCACGGACTCAAAAAATAGAACTACAGTAGCTTGTACAGAATTATTAACAGCACGACAGGAAATTACCGGTCAGTAGCTTTGATTTGAATTGTCACGCTTTAGGATTTCATCCACAGATAAAGTTAGAACTATATTAGAATTACAGCTTGCTTTTCTTTATTGACTCCAGAGTGAGAGAACGAAAAACGTTCTGTTGAACGCATCTATACAGCAGTTATTTATTGTGTCGTCCGTTTGTAGATGTTACAAACATTTTAACAAGGATCAGCTGCAGTTTTGGTGACATGCACAGCCATTCTCGCCAGTTCCATAAACTTGCATTGGGAAAATATTTTAAAATGTAAAAAACAAACTAAAACTTGCTTTCTTATTTAAATCTCTCAATCCCGCTGAGGCTTAAAACACTGTAGTAATATGACATCATCTTGCATTTTTCGTATTCATGACATAAAGCAGAGATTTGCAATTCGTGTACGTGACTTTTTTAAACTGTTTTTTGGTTGTGCACAGAGCCCTCGTTTAGTTTGGTCAGCGTCTTAACGTAATATAAGAGACGTGCATTTGACAAGCATGACGTCATTGCGCATATATTTTCAAGTAACGCTGTTTGTACAAAACAGCGCAGGTGTAGTAAATTAAATTACAGAAATTACTCTGGCTGATATAGTAGTGTACATACATAGCATTCTGACTCAAGTAAGTATATAATCAACTGTTGACATTGGATATCTATTTAAGGGCAAATTTGATTTGCTGTCTTTTGAGCAAGTTATTAAAGCACGTCATGGTTGCCAGCGGATTACTCACGAATCGACCCTGATACCGTAGATATGGTCTGATCGTCGAAAAATTATTTAATGTTCAGCTAATAGAATGTGTAGAATTCGAATTGGCCATTTCTGGGTTTAACTTTCGCTTTCAAAAGGAGGCAAAATGCAAAACCTTTCCTGTGTAGCCTGCGAGCAAGCTCGCCGGGGCGCTCTTGGCGCCGGGGCGGGAAAAGGAAGGAGAGCTTGCAACTACGTCTCTTGAATTTGAATATCGGCATCGAAAGAGTCGATGCGAAATGTTGATTGGCGGAGATGACATAGGTAATGACGTCATCACCCTTGGCACGTGGTTTTCAATGTTTGCTTACATTCGCGCTCGTTTCCGCTTTCCGCTGATTGGCGGAAATCTGACAGCTCAGTCGACGGGGAGCCACAGGGGAATTGGAGGTGGAATTTAAATTCCAGAGACGTAGTTGCAAGCTCTCCTTCCTTTTCCCGTTCCGCCGCCAGAGCGCTCCGGAGAGCTTGCTTGCAAGCTATTTCCTGTGTAAAGAAGTTTTCTTTGCATGAGAATAGAAAATCGTTTTCATATCAATAGCTTCGTACCTAGCCTCGCCTTCAAACAGAGGCTTGAGAGCCAACTCGGAAGTGAAGTATTTTAGGGGACGTATGACATAGTAAAATGTTATTTGTTGTAATGGCGGATCGATAATTGTGATAAATATTCCTTATGTATTGTACAGTACCAATATGACGAATCAACTTTATTTTGTTTATGTTACGTGTTAAAAAGAAATTCGCCACTTTAGAAACGAGGAGTCTGGGCCGAGTCAAGTTTCGAAAAGACTTCTTGGACTGTTACTAGGGCTCGTTCCCAGTAACCTTCCCAGAAACAGGTGCGGGACGCAGCTCGGTTCCAGTTCCTTTCTCCCTTCTAAAGTGGCCAATTGAAGGCCAAACAAGTCCTTGGTGTAATCAGCTGAGATTGAAAAACGAAAATGGACCAACATAGAGTTAAATTTAATTAATTATAGAGATTGTACAATAATTTTTGTGATTAATTTTCTACAACTGTAAATTATCAAAGCAATTATTTTGTCATTTGCGAGCAGTGAAACAGTGAATAAAGAATTGTAAAGCCTTTTCCAGTGAAGATTTGTTGTTTCTATCAGTAATCTTGCCTCGTCCCCAGGCCTCCTCATCGGTCATCAGGGTTCATGTCACAAGTCCAAAAAAGGACTTTTGGTATACAAGTTGAATCATGGCTAGGGTTTTCTAAGTGAAAAGGAGGGTAGTAAACCTTTCCATTTTATTTCCCTTTTTTGTCGATTGTGTCTAAAAGTACACACGAGTGACCACTGGTGAGAGTTCACCAAAATGCGATGTTTTAATAGCCCACGTTCGATATATTAAAATTCTAAGATGACTCCGAGGCTTTGTGGTCATTTTTCAATATTTGGTTTGTTTTTTTTATGCTCAAGTCTCTTTTGGTAATTGCGAGATAATGGAGTCTTGACAAATTTGCAATTGACCACTTCAGAAAATACCATAACATACCATAATGCTCTTTGTTTGTCACCCCCAAAATTTTGCATAAGCATTGTTTTCAGTTTCTCCTGGGGCCATTTTAACTCCCAAGAGAAACTGAAGACAATGCTTATGCAAAAGTTTGGGGTGACAAACAAAGAGCATTATGGTATGTTATGGTATTTTCTGGATTAATCAATTTTGACCTTAAAGCCTCGGATTCATGTTAGAATTTTAATATATCGAACGTGAGCTATTATAATGGCATCATTATTACGTCACTTTATCAAATTTTAACGCTTTAACCGGAAATGTCACATTTTCGTTTACTTTCCCCAAGGGAGGGTCTTGTCCAAAAACTGTTGCTACTTCAGAAACCATTTTGCATACTGCGAAAGTCAACTTCGTTGACGAAGAGCAAGTCAAAGCAATGGATTACAGCCTGCTGGCCAAAAGTGAGGCTTAGGTTATCGTAGTTGTGCGATCCACTCTCACGGAACCTTTAAGGACAGGATTCTTCGTGGTAATGTGGCTGGATATGGGATGGTAGTACTTGTTGGTGAAATGGGGACTGTTTATGAACCGGCCCTTATCTTCGCGCCCCCTGGGCCTTTTGTCAACATGTTTAACAAGTCTAGCAATGATATTGTTTGGTGATATACGATGAGCCGTTATACCGACACTCACAAAATTGTAAGTTTTTTTGACTATTTTATTTTATATTTTATTTCTAACCGCAATTGTGGGAGGCGAACTTTAAGTCAAGAGACAAATTTTATTTCACTACTTATTTCCACTAACGTTTGATAGACTGTTTCAGGGACGGGTAATCAATTGTTAAAAACTATTTAATTTTGAGTTATCAGAAAAAATACGGCATCATTCTGACACAGTCAGAGCATATATATTTCGAAGCCTTCTCAGAAAGGCCTTTAATTTATACGGGAGGGGCTTATTACTGGAATCTTTTCTGCGTTTAGATTTCAGTCGGGGGTTTATAAACGGAGGGGTTTGTTTTCGAAATTTTTACGGTTGTTTCCGTTTTTAATTTAACCTTCATTTTTTTTTGTAGAGATTTCAGGTACCGGATAGTTTGTAAGGAAAGAGACTCGTATCCGGAAAGCAAGAAAGCAGGCTGGGGGGCCAAAAAAACATTACCTGATATTTCGACAAAAACGGAAAGAGGCGAAGTTAACATTAAAGGGCGGGAAACAGAAATAAAGGGTACGGGTAACAGGATATTACACCGTCCCTATCCGTCCCTCACAAGCTGTCCAAGACCCACCCTTTTGAAAAAAAAAATAATAAAGAGGAGAAAATAACTTATTTACATTTTTTAGTAGCTGTAAATAGTTTATTTGCGGTTACATAGTGGTTAATAGATAAAGGGACTTAAATAATCACGTGATTATGACGTTAGAAGAATTTCAATGTATTTTTACTCGTGGTTACTCGAGGTCATTCGTGGTCACTCGTGTGTACTTTTAAACACCATCTTTTTTGTGTACTTACTAAGGAGTTAATTGTTGATTTGCTATGTAGTCTCCTTTCTGTTTCTGCCTAGGACCAAAGTATGCTTTGAGTTAATTTCAGACAATTCTGGATGTCTAGAAACTCTAGCGAGATTTACGCAGATTAACACAGCTGGGACAACCTCGTCTCCAGGGTCTTCTCGTCTTCCAATATGGCGATGTCACAGTGACTTGGGTATTCCCTTCTCACATTGCTTTAGTATTTTTGGGTATCCCAGAGTACCCTCCCGATACCTGCAACACTAAAGAAAAACATCGCGGAAATTCCAGGATTTTGGGGGCGGGTTATGACAAGCACCCCTGGGATGGAAATTCTAAGGGATTGGGGGTTCTAAAGTGTCCAACTTGAGTGATTTGGGTTTGTATTCCTGTGACATTGCAAAATTGTTTTTTGGAAAACGGGGAAAGCCCCTGGGGACAGGCGACAACGTATCTATTTTCAGTTTGCTTTTATAGCCCCCGGTGAAGGTTTGTGTTGCAAACCGAAATATCGGGCAAATATAATTCGCCATTTTATTTGTGTTTTCTTCTTTATTTTTCCTTTCACTCTTCCTGCCGTAAGGATCAGTTTACTGCTCTAATTTTAAAATTTGATCATGCCTAAATATAGTGTTAAATAACCTAAACTGCGATCAGGCGTTTTTTCCTTTTTTTTAAGAGTGGGCGAGGCGAGAAGGAAAAAAACTCTTCCCGTGAGAGACATACAGCGATAGTAGGGAGAGGGCGTGATCTTAGGCTAATATTTGCTTATTAAAATTGTCAGAAAAATAAAACGCCGATAAAAGTACTGTCTCATAAAAGTGAGAAATAAAGCACCATGATTGGGATCACATTCACAGTTCATACATTCAGAGTCATTGTTAAGGAAGTTTCTCCTCAAGGGTTTGCCTGAAATTCGGAAGAGGCAATGATGACAGAAACGAAGGTTATTTCCGACATCATTTTGCTATTCTATCCTTTACGCAGCGCCCTAACAATCACAAACTCGCCATAGAAACAGGCCGTTACTTAAGACCTTATAACAAATTAACCTGAAGAAAAAGCATGTCCAATTTGTAAACTAGAAATGGAGGACGAATATCGCTTTTTAACTATATGCTCCACTTACCATTAAAAAAGAAACTTTCTATTCGATAACCGAAAAATGAGCATCTAATAAGAGTGACCAAAATGCCACCAAATGAAATGTTCATGTTTTTAATAAATGCCTTTAGCGAGAAGCCTGAAACCCAAAAATTAATAGCAAGGCAATTGTGTTCGAATGCTTCAAAATAAGATAAGAGAAGGAGGACAAAAAGTGGGTCAAAGTCGGTTTTTAGGGCAAAGGAAGAAATCTTGATGACGCGCGGCCTGTGTGAAAAAAAAAAAAAAATAGAAAAATAAGTAAATGACCGGCGCCTGTTACGCAGGCTTTCTCCTTCAGGGCTACCCAGATCATCGTTTCCCAGGGGTACTCCCTCTCTATAAGGCCCCATACGGGGAGGGTCCGCCCGAAAGAGGTACCTTTGTCAAGCTTCAGGTATATGAAAGGGTAGGGAAATCTGTCATTTCTGTCGATACTGGGCCCAATGGCTAAAAGATGCATAAATTTAGGGCAGTGAAAAACTTTCTGGTTTTGTGATTTATTTAAGACAGGGAATTTACAGCAGCTGAAAGGGATGCAAAGTTCTAAACCAGTAGTATGAAAGAGGTACCATTTGTCAATAGAAGGTATACGAAAGGGGTACGTTTTCTGTCAAAAATGGTATATAAAAGGGTATAGGGTTAGACCTCGGGGTGGATCCTCACGGTATAAAACTTTGTTGAGTACCCGCCCCGGATATGGCGCTCCTAGTATGATTTAATAGGTTTAATGTTTTAATATTAAATAGCCTGTCTATGTATTCTACTATTCGTTAAATGTAAGCTCGCTAGTGTAGTGAGCACCTTACTTCTATCATAGCGGGGCTCTCGCGCGTGAAGCGCGCAGCGGAGCACCATGGGTAAGAAAATGTGGTAAACTACCCATCCAAGAAAATTTGGTAATCACGTGACCGTATACCGCCCGAGGGACCGTCCGTCCGCACCACAGGCATACCAATGTAAAATAATTCAATCAACGGGTATGGCAAGCCAAATGCAACTCGAGGTTATTTTGACGGGAAATCGCATAGCCACCTGCGTCTTGTAAAGCAGAAACAACTAAAGAGTCGATGAAGAGGAAAATGGAAAGCGGAAATGGTCTCTGTATCCGTGTTTTCTAAAGTATTAAGCTTAGGTTAATTGTCATGTCCACAAATTTGGAATATAGAGCAAGAGAAACACAGAGAAAAAGAGAAAGTAGGCGGCAGGCCAGCAAAGCTCAACGAGAAAAAGGGTGACAGAGATTTAGAGCGAGAGATAAAAAACAAAGGAGACATTTTTTTGTTGGAAGAACAACATTAAAATTTTGTAACGGCGGTGACAAAATGAGAAATGCTAGCGGCCGCCAATGCAAGGTGAAAATGAGCGGCAGTGAAAAAAAAGTGAACGAAAATAACGTGTAACTAAGAAGTTTCTGGAAGTTTCACGTTGTAGTCGTGCAAAACAACGGCAAAGAAATGTACAAAAAAAGTGTGCTGCACGTGCAAAGTTTCTTTTTTGCTAATTAGACCTATTGTTGTTTTTCACCGTTCTCCGGCGTTGCCTTCGCCGCTTAGCATTACATGATTTTATATTTTGTTTGAACAAACTACAAATACTGTCGAGAGCTTCGCTTTTAGCCCTGGTTAAATCTATATATTACACGTTAATTGCAGTTCGATTACGAGACTACGAGTAGTCCCCATT